TTGCGTGCACCAGCTTTCTTTCTGTCCGAGCATGTGACGGTCGCGGTCCATTGCTGTGCACGGACCAGTGCGGGGGCGGATGGTTTGGAGTGTACGGTTTCTCACGGGAAGAACGCGACTCTTGTACGCGTGAATGTTCAACTTCTTTCGCGCCGTACGTAGCCAACCGTGCTCACAATGCGCAGAGGTACAGCAGACAGCAGGGCCCGACCTCAGTGCTGTCTGCATCGCAGGCGATTCATTCTTGTGCACGATAATCCCCGTTTGCGGCGGTCTGCGATAGGGAGCACGATACCATCGAAAGGCCGAAAATCCTCCTATAAATTTGTGTAAGATTTGACTTTGATAAATGGGGCTGTCGCCCAGCTGGACGAGAGCTTTGTTCAACGTTTGGTGTACAGTGGGAGCAGAAAAGAATTCCTTACACTGCAGACGAGGCGTGACCACAATGAAGCGGGTGTTGACGATTAACCCCACATCACCACCACCGCCTACCTCCTATCGTGCTGAATAAGAAGTCATTCCCTAAGTGTGCTCTCTCGGCTCACTCAGCAGGGATGATGAGGTTACCTTTTGGGCCCCGGGTGTTGTGAAGGGAGTTTATTTTTTACACCCCGTAGTGATGCGGGTAAAGTGAGGTGAACCAAGTTACCGGTTGGGATCTGCACACGGCAGCTTTTAATATTCGATTTCCTTACAGTCACTTTTAGCTCTTCACTCTGGACAGGTGCTAAATTACTTCGTGCGTGATGCAGAGGGTGCTCAAGTTAAAAGAAAAAAAAAGTCACGTACAGCTCAAATTTTCAGCCAAAATAAACATTCTTAATCCGTGCTTAGCCCAAGATCATATCGCCCCGTGTATGTGCCCCGATCTCATCAGATCTCGGAAGCTAAGCAGAGTTGAGAGTGGACGGCGCTTGGATGGGAGGCGACTTTTGGATGGGCGGCCACTGTGCATAACAGTTGTTATAGGCTTGGGGCAACGTTGTGGGGCAGCAGAGGCCAGTGCAGCAGTAGCCATTGTTATACATGTAATGCATGGTACTTCGAATATTTGTTTTCCACCTTCAACCTACTGACTCGTGTGATGAAGTATGGTAAATTACCACCCTGTTACATATACGACATTCAGAGACCCTCATCCAGCAGTGGATTGACAAAGGAGCTCTAGAGGAACATGTAATGCAGAGGACTTAAGTATTTTTATCAAATGAAAATAAAAAACTTTCAGCAAAAGTTAATTATCTTAATCCATGTTCATTTTTACGTTGCAGTGCTATCTATACTGTCAATGTATATACTTATAAACAAACAAGTGAAAGTGTCGAGTCGTACTCGAATTTTAAATGTTGTGGGTTTACGTTCCAACATACCTGTGTGCTGAACTAGTAACTCATTGACACTTTTTTTTTTACACGTGACAAACCTTACTTATTGGCTGTATCGGTTGGTGGCGGGTTTTACGACACATTTATATTTACACGATCTAACCCAAAAACACCAAACCTCTCATGTACACTACCTGATTTTTCCATTCAAGTCACACTGCGTCCATACACAGCTTCTCTTTCACCGTGGGGCTGAACAATAGCCCAGTGTGCAGATATTTCTGCAGTTGTCACTACCCACATTTCTTTTTCAGAACGTTTTAAAAAAAAAATTGCACTCAAACCTCCCGCTGAAAAGTACACTTTGAAAAGTGAATCTCCTGTGGAGCATTGTTCATATAGTCTGCAAAGGAAACATTAAGTTCTGCAAAAGGAGCTGGGTAAGTCTGTGCCAAGTTATTGGCTGTGAAGAGTAATCACTTTAATCAGATAGAAGAGCTCACGAAACAGTTCTTCTGTTAAGGTAACTAAATAAAAGCTTATTTTGGTTTTCATGAGCTACTTGCATACCTCCTTGTTGGTGAAAGAATCCACAATTCTGCAGATAACTGTTGGCCACATTCCACGCAAGAATGCGCTGAGATGCAGACGTTCTTAATTGCACGTACAATTCATATATTTTTTATGAAGGCAGCATTTGAAAGTTGTGTTCGAAGGCGTTGCAATGCAAATGTGTGTACAGGTAAACTAAAACACGATTTTTTTTGGGTTAGATCGCTTAAATATATAAATGTGTCGTTAAACCTGCCACCACCCGACACAGCCAATTATTAAGGTTTGTCATTGAACAGAACATGCCAATTCGTTACTAGTACAGCACACCGGTGTGTTGGAGAGCAAAGCCACAACATTTACAATCTAAATATTATTGATGATATTGGTCGCGAAAGCCTACGTGTTAAACTAAACACACGAGTACAGCGATAACCACCACCATCAACATCATTGTTGCTTCGTCACTTCATGCTTGTTGTCTTGGTCAGGTAGATTATTGTACATAAATAAAATGCTCTGTGCTTCCCGGCATCTGCTGGGCAGCCGTTGAGCTTCGGGAACTCAGCTATCCTTTACAGGGAAACACTATCTGCTGCCAAGTGGCCTCACTCCTGTTATCGGGTTGTTTTTTTCAAAGTGGAGTTTTTTCCCCCACTTATTTAAAAAAAAAATTTCCATGTCTTGACATGACTGGAACTGGGCAGAATCCCAAAGCCCTGTTTTAGCGTGAACCGAAATGTTTAGTTTTTAACGAGACGTTTGCTTATTTAATCTTCCTCATTACGTGTAATTATATCTATCAATTTAAACATATGCAGGTAAGTCTGTATATAGTAGTACAGTATTTATACATTGTTGTGTATATGTAGTACAAGCCAGTACCAACCCGTTCTATGGACGGGGTGATTTAAAACAAAAAAAAACTGCTATCCTTCATAAAAACGGTATCGCATGAGTGATCTGAAGCCTCTTCCTACACTAACCAGTCAGTTACTTTTAACATTCAGTGCAAAAACTGTTTTGTCCTCCAAGCAGCGCCACCACCTATCGCAATTAGCGGTCAGTTTTTTTGTACCATAGGTTAAAGGTCATAGGTCATACATAGCTCATAATTAATAACGTGCGTTCCTCGTTCCTTCCAGTAAAAACGAGCCATCGCTGATTGACAGCCTGATGGATTATTTAAAATTATATATACTGCATGTTTCGGATGAATTGTTTGTTCTTTTTACCAATAATGCTTCATGAGTGCTCGTTAAGATGTTGTACAATGTTGTTTTTGGGGCTGATGGCCCACGGATGTAGAGAAATCACCGATCGCATCTGCTAAACTCGCAGTATTTGTTTCGAACACCCAAACTTATTGATGAGCCCCAGAATGGCAAAAGGAGTCCAAAGTTTGCATGCTTGAATAAATGGTTGACAGTCTGGAAAGTCGTGTCGGCTGAGAGAATGGAAGCACGTTGGGTTTTTTTCCTATTTTGTCTGGTTCATATTGATTCACGGCATGCTCCATTGAATTCATATAGAGCCTGCTGTATTTCACTCTGACAGGTTGGCTGTAAAGTAGGCAAGTTGAACGCCATCCGATGTGTCGGTATATGTTTAATGGGAGACAGCCTGGTGACGAGACAAGATACATATGAATCTGTCGAGTGTTTGCCTACTGAAACAAATTCTAGATCTAAAACATCGATCCAGATGGCCCCAACCATACATTGATAGATCAAAATGTAGTTTTCTTTTCCGATTGTGAAACAGACCCTCGTCTGTGTATTCACTAATACCATTGTGCGTTCTTGTTTGTGCACTCCCAAGGCCACCTCTCCAGTGGGCTGGCCATACAGGCACGCTACTTTACCTGGTGTGGCCCTCCCAAGGCCAGTTTCCATAGCCACAGAGAATGCAACGAGCACCACCGTGGGCCGTGGAGATAGCAGCAGTGCCGTCGCACCACCAACACAGAACTGTTTCTCTCCTCCTGCCCCCCCCCCCCACACATTCTCATTTCGTAGCCAGCTCGCCGCCAGAAGACAAAATTTTCCGGTGCGGCGGCGGCGGCGTTTATGGCCCGTCTCGTCGCTCTGCACTCACGGTGAAGGTGGCGCCGGCGCCGTGGGTTTTTGCACCCACCCCCATCCCCGCCACCTCCTCATAATCCCTGGATACTCACGTCGGCCTGACAGGGGCTCGGAGATATGGGCTCGGCAGGGGGGACGCTGAGGCATGTTAGGGCGTGCAGGGGCCCACATGAATGCACACTGGCTGCCCAGTGGAGCAGGCACTCCATGCTGTAAGTTACTCTCGGAACGCCGTTATCACTTGGCTTTCACCCAGCAACTAGCTCACACCGGGCTGCCTACGTGGATTCAAGACGTACATTTGTTAATTAGTTCCGTCAATTGTTTTATTTCAACGTTGAGGCCAGGAGAAGATTCATATTGTCCAGTCATCAGTTTGATTGCGGCAGTGGCCAATTACAGAATGAGGGAAATCAGAAGCGCGTTCCAGCAATGTAATGAATCGCCCGCGACCGTCAATAACGGTGCATAAAAATACTGTACGCTTGAAGTCATGACATAATTCATAAAAATAAGTGCTGTAAGAGCCAACCGCTCGGTGTAAACAGCTTTTAAATAGAACATTTTTGCACCACTTAATTTTACATTGGGCTGTCGGGAAACTTCAGTGTCTCAAATAAACTACAGCACATGGAACTGCGAGTACAGTGATATTGCATCCTATGGGCTGCAATGCAGTTGTGTGTCTATTTGTGGGCTGGCAGGAGGAGAGGCTCTTGAGTGTCGGTTGTATCCACGTGTAAGTGGATCCTGGCCCAGGAATTCCTGTCCACCCCTGCCCACGACAGGCCTTGGTGTGTCAGCTACTGTGCCTCGGTGGCGAGATGTTAACTACCTCACCTGGTATGCAGGAGGATGTGGGTTCGATACCCTGACAACTGCTGTATATTTGGAGTTTGCATGTTCTCCCCGTGATCGTGTGGATTTTTCTCCGGGTCCTCCGGTTTTTCCCTCCACATTTAGAATCAACGTGCATTTTGAGTATTTCGCTGCTATACCTTTCCACGTGATGCACCACCTCGTTGAGCTATCATTTGTGAGCAGGTCGCTTCTGAAAAAGAGCTGTATAGCTCAGTGGGTTTTACCTGGTAAAAAAGTTTAAATAGTTTACTGTGTCGCAGCACATGCACACGTCGGCGTGGTGTGAATCGCGTAAAAGAACACGAGCAATCGGGGGCGGAAGAGGAGCCGTTTAAAATAAAGTTTCCTCCCATTTTTTTATTTGGCAAAAGTTATTTATTGCCATTAGGCGTGAAGGAGACAAAGATGGGGACTGTAATGAAAGAGAGAAAGCTGATGGTAAATCATTGAAGAGGAAATAAAAAAGGCAGAGTTATGCGGATGCCTCCATGTGAAGCTGCCGTGATATCAGAATCTGAATATTTATTTGTACTGAAGGAATCCGATGAGCTATGAAGCTCTTTCCCGTGAAATATTGCCTCCATTATTTTCTTTGGCTACAATCTCATATGGTTGGCCAATAATGCCGAAAATCTCTCGCCTGGGCTACATTCATATGTCTTTGCTTCCGTTCTTTTCCCCAATTATATTTCATTTGCGATATTGGGACTTTCAATGAGACAAAGGCAATTTCGTTTGAATCACTTATTGAAAGCAATTCATCATGCCCTGGTAGAGAATGGTCTCTAGAAAGTGACGTGACAGAACAACACAGATATCCTCATTTCTACTACATGGCAATCAAACTGAACATTTATAATTATTACAACTAGAATAAGCTTCATTAAGTTAAAACCACCAATATGAGACTATCTATACTCTATAATTACATGGACAGCATCTTAATTACAGGCAACTAATACACAACCTCGACCCTGGATCTGAGCAGTGGAGCTCAGTGATTCGGTATGGTGTTATTCCACCCCGAGCCACTTCACTGCTTTCGTGTTAACTCTTATTTATTATTACAGCTTTGATCGTGCTGTTGTTGCTGGCTCAGTCATGTTTTGAGCCTTTCGAACCCTTGCTCAGGACGTTTAAACAAGAAAAAAATCTTATCCCTAGGGCCTACAGTCAGCTAAAAAGGCCAGACAGCACAAGCTTGAACGATGGCTTCGTGGCGGCGGCGGTAGTGGCGGTGGCGACGGAATCGGAGTGCTGCGCGCGGTCCGGTTCCACCAGCCTCAGGGGCGCCGTGTTGCGCTGCTCCCGACAGCTGTGCGGGTTGAGCGCCGGGTAGAGCGGCTCGAGGAAGCGGGCGTGGAACGCGTGGAGCAGGGCCATGCTGGCGGCGTCGAAGAACGCCAGCGTCCCCGCCCCCTCGACGAGCAGCACCCCCACGACGGTGGGCCTGGGTACGGCGAGCGCCAGCGGCGGTTCGGCCACGCCGCCGTGCCACGCCGTGTAGACGCCGTTGTGCAGCTCCAGCGCCCACGAGCCTGAGTTGCGGCCCAACCGGCTGCAGTCGACGCGTGGCACCGATGCGTACGCCATGCCCACCTGTTGGGGCGCCGAGGTCGTGAGATGTTATCTCCCTGGCCTGGTATGCAGGAGGTCGTGGGTTGGATCCAGACCCTTAACGCCTGCTGTATATTCGGAGTTTGCATGTTCTTTCCGTAGTTGCGTGGATTTTTCTCCGGGTCCTCTGGTTTTTCCCTCCACATTTGGAAACATGCATTTATAGTATTTGGCTGCTATAAATTTCCACATGATAAGCGACTTCGTTGAGCTATCATTTGTGGCCAGGTCACTTCTGAAAAAGAGCTAATAACTCAGGGGGCTTTATCTGGTAAATAAAATAGTTAAGTTTCACATTCGTTAAAAGCATTTAAGGCAAGGCCTACGAAATTGAGGACGTCATCGTTATCGTCAGCCTTGATCTATCCATGGCTGGATTAAGGACTCCCCTCACCTGTCGATCACGGGGGCTGTTTGACCATACTTCACCGCACTGGTCAATACGTGGTCATGAAGGAGTGCTTAGACGTGTTTCATATATTACTCGGCACTTGTGTTGGCCATGCCCAGGAATTACACTCACTAGCTCACTCTTTTGACATCACCGCTTGGACATTTTATTGTCTTCACTAAAGTGACACACTGGAGCAACTGACTCTTGATGTGCTTAAAGCTGTTTTTCATTAATGAAGCTCCATAGCATGTGCCTCGACCCTGGCCTGGACAAGCAGACTGAGAAACGAATTAACGAATATAGCAAGTGCTTTGGTAGCCCATGACATGCAACCTAGGTATGTATCTACAGCATATGAGATTCATTTTTTTTTGGCTAGCTTCTTTGAGTGGATACACTGGCAATCCTGAGTGCATTCATGAACAGGTCCGGTTTTATTCTGTTAGCCATTATTTCAGCCACGTATCTAGTGGCCATTGTTGGCATTTTGAGATCACACTCGGTTATGGGTCTCCCAGAGGCTACTGGTTTTGCTTGTTCCAGGAAAGATTTACGGGGGCTGCTTTGGACACTCGCTGTCACAAGTCTATGAGGCGCTTGTCCACGGCATAGCCGCCCGTGAAATTATTTATTTCATTCTTAGTCATTAATGGTCCCTGTGTATGCTTCATATGACTCTCTAAACCTTGGACATTACCACTGAACTCAAATAATTCTAAACATGCCTCAGTCTGGCTGTGAGCCTCAAACATTCACTGCCTTACTTTGTTTTTTGTGTGTTATTCGTTGTACAAACACGAGCAAAAATGAAAATTTTAATGACAAAACATCTGCCGGGTTTGTGAAATGATAGCTCTCGCTTGCCGTTGACTCTGAGTGCAACTTAATGTTTCCCATCAGAATTTCAGGAGCCTGATATCATATCCGTTTCAAGAAAGAGATATGTCCATCAGATTATTTTTGTCTTTTATTGGCCGCAACCACCACCATCATCAGATGTCACCTCTCAGTTGGATGAAAGCCACACCATTTTGGTGCAAGCTCCTATTCCATGCAGTAGCATTCCATTTTGCTTACATTATTATTTTCCCCCAAATGGAACTTCCTTCAGAGAAAGTCTTCCCGCTGCTTAGTTTTTTTCTTCCATAAGGGATCAGAACAATAAGATCCTAAGATTTTAGGTTTGAATCCAGTCACAAATTACTGCATTATACTTAAGTAATTTAAATTCCAGTTCTGAAAATATTAAAATGTTTGTCTGACTGCCTTGCAATGAACATTTCCTTTTGTGGCTGTGCTCATCCCAGTTTGAGGATAAAAAGCGCCTTGTGAAGGACTTTCAGAAGTTAACTAACAGCCTTCCGTAAGCTATTCTTTGCAAAGGAGCAATGCACTCTTTGAGAGTTCCGAATGGAAACCTCATTACACCAATAGCAGGATAGCAGGGTTGTGGAATGGTTTACTTACTGAGGATTAGAAGCTTTGGTGTACCACATTAACACACACTTTAGTCACATTTGTGACAGAAGTGACTGCTCCCACTAAAATTATAAACGGAGTTACCTGATAGAAATATTTCCCTCTAGTACCCAATTAGTGTTTCTCAGATGCGTTAATTGATTGAAAAATATTGTTTACGGCTCGTTTCAAGGTGGTAGACTTCATGGGTCCAGGGGCTGTATGAAATGCATTTTTCGGGCATATGAAAATAACTGGCGGCCCATTGAAATAAAGATGCAGGCCTTATGATATGAAGATGCGGGTCTTGTAAAATTAAGTTGCGGACTGTGTCCAGCCCGTGGGTTTGTAGTATCCCCACCCCTGCACTTATTGGAGTCGATTTGGAAAAAAAGAAAAAAAAAGCGAAATACTCATCACTGACCGCACGGAACGGCTGCGCCGTGCTTATGCTCACCGTCCAGCCGGTCTTGCCGGCGACGACCACCTCCCAGTAGCAGCAGCCATGGTGGGTGAGAGCGGGCAGGCCACGGCACGCCAGCACGTTGAGGGTGGAGAGGAAGCGGCCCGGTTCCTCGGGCACGTCTCGGCGCATCCGCACGCACCGCACCTCCACGCCGTTCGCAGAGATCTCCAGGTTGGGGTGCGCCGTCTCGGGGTCAAGCATCACCTCCGTTAGCTCTGCCAAAGATGATTCCCTTTGTATGTAAATGCTTGTCGTTTTGTAACCAAATCACCTGGAGTGCGCCCGATCTTGTCGGATTGTACGCACGCATGTTGAACTACTTTTGCACCGTACGTAGCCAACCGTGCTAATCGGAGGTGCGCAAGCTGTGCAGGGTTTGAGCCAAAATTCATTGTTGTATTGTTACTTCTATGCTCACACATCGGTGCTCCTCACCACCAATCCACACTGAAGCAGCATGGTGCAATGATTGCACCCGTCATGGATGCCAAAGCGCATCATGTGTTTATCTGCTCCAGGAAATTTTGGGCATAACTTCAAACTCGAAGGATGAATAGCTCACATACCTGAAGCTCTCTCATACTTGGAAAGCACCTGAAGGCATTTTTTTCCTCTCACAGTCGATCCAGCTGCCTTCACAGCCCTTACCTTCCACCCCTTGTTGTCCAAACGCCTTTTTAAACTTGGCCACCGCGGCCCAAGGTGGTCACTGTGACCCGGGGGAGAGACTGGTCATTCAGCTTCGCAACACTGAGCATTGTCAGAGAAGAGAATGTACAACGGTTACGGGACTCACTTGGTTCAAATGCCTTGAGCAGTTTTGAGATTTTCGCTTCAGATTCGAACACTGCCTGCAGTCCGTTGTTTTGATTCTGCGTGATGTCTGGTGGTTCTTTTTCCGCGCCTTTCAAGCTGAAAGGTAACATGAGCCGAAGTAAAAAAAAAAGTGGCTTACAACGTTGATGAAAGTTGATGTCTGTTGCAGAACAAAGTGGCAGTAAACAAAATATAAATAAACAGGCCGAAAATCGGTCGCTACATGTAAAATTAAAATATTAATGCCATCAAAGCATGGGACTCAAACGGTGGAATCCAGTTTGTCACCTCTTCGACTTATTCAGTCTCGTCAACAGATTTAGGTGGCCTGGATAACGTTAGTCTGGAAGACCTATTGGCCAATTGCCAAAACAATATATTTTATGGAGAGACAGCATTTTGTGTGTTTATTTATTCATAGTCTGCATTACCCACGATCCTTCATTATGGTGTATAATGAGTTATAAGTAGAATTTGAATCAATAATTTTCAGCCTTTTATCAATCCAACGCGGGATGAAGACCTCCGCACAATGATTCGGTCACGGGGGTTGTTTCACCTAACTTCACATTGCTGGTTAGTACACGTTGGTGATGTGTAAGTGGCAGGGTCTAAAACTATTTCAGAGATCACTTGCCACTGATGTTAGCCATGACCAAGAATTTAAATCTGGTCGTCGGGTTTGTCGGGTATGGCTCTAACCACTTCACCCCCCCCCTGAGTTTGCAAATAAACTACACAATTCCACCGATGACAGACCGCGTGATTGTTACGAATCACAAACCTAGATCAACAAGAGCAACGTCTGTTTAAGCCAGGTCAATTTTCCACTTACCATCCTATTAACGGGGAAACGTAAGACAGACGTGACTTGACCTGGGCACCAGGAGGGGGTGGCAATGAGCTGGAGAGGACAGCTGTTAGGACTGCCCAGCCGGCAGTGCTCATGGCGTGATGGCCGGGTGTCGAAAGAGGAAAATTGGGTAACTCTGACACCGCGCGATGCGACGGCGTCAACAGAAACCAGGCACTGGCGGACCGGAGAAGAGGAGTGGGGGGGCTGCCCAATGCCTACGAGGGGGTGGGTGGGCGAGGGGGTGCCTGGTGCATGAATAAGTGGAGCAGAGGTTATCTGCGACCGAAGTGCAAAATGTTTACCAACACTTGGTTCACAGGGGTGATATTTGCATTAAAAAGCTGTCCCAACATTTGGACCCCCAGGAAGCGTTTGTATAGCAGCAGTACAAACAGGAAGGCGGGAGGTTGAATAAATAAAAGAACATGGCCTACCTTTCTTGGATAGCCTTGAATGCCTGTCAAATACACACACAGAGATTATATTTTATGTTTAGGTCCTAAAGCAATATGTTTGGTTGGGCACAAGTGATAGTCCAAGTGCAGTAGGTTATTGTTTTCTTTTTAAATGATAAGCAGTTCACTTAGTTCTATTGCATGGCATAGCTGTGTTTCCAACATTGTAGAGAGCATCCAGACAAGACAAATGACCGGTTGGTACTCCTGATACGTTTGTAGTGACATCGCGGGATGTCACTGTGCAGTGCCTGCCCGAGAGAGACACGGCGTGCGGTGTAACGACATCGCGGATACCACAAGGGTGTGGGTGTAGTACCGTCCCTAGAGGGGCCCGGTGAGCGCTGATGGATAGCGCTGGATGGCGCCATGCTTGGCTTGCAGTGCCAACCCTACAGGACAGGGTGTGGGAGTGCCGGCCCTAGGAATGAGGTTACTAAAGGCCATGGCACTCTGGTTGACCCGAGAGGATACGTGACCAGTTAAGTCTACAAAGGGGCCCAAGTGGGGGCTAGGGGTGGTCACGTGGTTAGCATCCAGATCCTTCCCGAGGATTCTGGAAGGTGGGCGTGGCCAAGGGAGAAACCAACCATGCCGCAGAGAATATAAGCTGGGTTCCCAGAGGGACCGGCGTTGTTGCTCATCCTGAAGAAACCTTGGTCTTCGTTCTATGTTCTCCGCTCAACGAGTCTCCAACACGTGGACCTGGACCCAAGCTGTGGACCCGGTCCGTCGTAGCTAGTTACATTGTAATTAGGGTAGTTAGCCTAGTGGTCACCACCCGGCTAACTACACCAGTTACGTTGTAACTAGTGTAGTTAGCCTGGTGGTCACCACCATAGGTTGTTATTCTGTTAAGGAGAAGTTACCCCGTGTGTTGGAGTTAAATGTGTTGCCTCCAAGTATACGTCTGCGACTCAGTTGAACTCACTACACATTCGTCTAAGAATTCCAGCATTTAATTGCTCGCGTGGTATTTACTAAAATATGGAATGTGCAAGGGCACAGAGGCGTCCGTGTAATCAGGACAGCTTCATAATGAGACAGCAGTGAAACAAAACAACTAATATGAATGGTAATATAAACATTAATATCAGTAAAATTGTATTTTGTGGAAATGGTAACCCTCATGGAAATATCCAAGTTTGCAGCCGGTAATTTAAATATTGTTTGCATCATGGGAAAGCATGACTGGGTCTAATTGGAAGAAAGTTTACACTGAGATGTTGGACCAATTTCTTTATGAGCCATACTTTGCATGCGGGAGATAACCAGAGTATCCAGAGAAAAGCCCACCGCACATCTGCGGTGATAACACTGAACGTTCTACACACGTGGGTGTCACAAAGCCACTTACTGTGCTGGCATATCATGGCCACCTTACAGCCCGGCACTGAGGTTAGTTTCAGAGATCCCTGCGTTGTCAACTAACCCGTGCCTCTCTAAAATGCTTGGCTCAATCACAGACAGTCTAGCTCCACTGCTCCACCGTGCCCGGCTGAATGTCAACAAATAAAAGTGAAAATTTGGAGATTTGCTGCATGCACAGACATGTGGCGAAGTCGCGTGGTGCCATGGTGGCGAGGTGTTAACTCCCTCGCCTGGTATGCAGGAGGTCCTGGGTTCGATACCGACCCTGACGCCTGCTGTATATTTGAAGTTTGCATGTTCTCCCCATGGTCGTGTGGATTTTTCTCTGGGTCCTCCGGTTGTTCCCTCCACATTTATAATCAACATGCATTTAGAGTATTTGACCGCTATAAATTTCCACATGATCGGCCATTTCATTGGGCCATCATTTGTGATAGCCAGGTCACTTCTGAAAAAGAGTTATTTATATAGCTCAGTGCACCTTTACCTGGTAAAATAGAAAATAATTTAGTTTGTTTTAGAGATTGGGGGGATCCCCACCTGCAGCGTTTGGTGCGGCAAGGCCTGTGCAGTCACGGCTGCGTGCAGCGAATCAATGGCGCTCTGTAGTCCCTGTGTCTCGCGAGCGATCGCGAGCATGAGCAGCTCGTGCCGGCGCCGCCGCTCGAGTTGGCGCTCGCCGATGAGCCGCAGCACATGCGTCCGCTCGTCCTCCAGCAGGCTGATGAGCGCCTGGTACTGCACGCCGGCGCGCCGCTTTGCCCGCTCCGCCTCCTCCTTTGGGGCGAGAACGGTGGAACCGCGGCGATGAGTTTGGCACCGTGGGGGGGGCGCGCATGCCGGCGAGGCGCCAGTTCGCCACGGCCATTCGCGTTCTGGCAGTCGGAAATTGGCACTTCTGTTCAGACTCATGGGTCAGCAGGTACTTAGTCCGGTAATATGTCCGGTGATGTCTGAGTGGTGGTCCGTCCCCTGTTTAATGTTGGGGTGTTGCTATTTCATATATTACTAGCTTTACTCCCCAGCTTCGCCCGGGACTTGGATTCACCACGCCCGGCCGCCATTGTCTCCCCAGTGGCGATGTTCACACACCACACCAGTTACTCGTTTGAGGCTGAGTCGACCTAGGGGAGGCCCAGTACCGGTTGAAATAATCATCACTGGTGGTGGCCGTGAGCGGGAATCAAACTCGGGTCGCCAGGTTCGTAGCGCAGCGCGCTAACCACTACACTACCACTCCCCCCACACACACGTGCGCGCGCGTCCATAGCTACAAATACACGCGCTTACTGCAGACACACACAACTTTCAGGGTGCGTACGGCAGTAAACGACAGAAATAATAAACCCATGCTGCGCGAAGAGCGCCTTAGACCTGCAACACATTTGTACGGCACTTTACTCGCGGAGAGTTGGGGGGGGGTGCGTGACATCAGCAGGCACACTGCGTAACGCTTCCGCATGCTTGTGACATGACAGATGTGACGTCACAGCTCACTTGCAAAATATATGCATTATTGCGCCCCCCCCCCCAAAAAAAATACAAAAGTTTATTTTTATACTTTTTGCATGGTGTACAGTCTGGAAACTACCCACATGCCAAATTTCAAGTTTGTTGCATGTCGGAAAGTATGCTAAACATTTCGAACAGACACACATTCACAAATTTTCCTTTTATATATATAGATAGGCAGCATGGGCCATTGTAGAAACATGCGTTGTACTGTACTGAGCTGCGATGTATATGCTGCTCCTACCTTAATTACCCTGGACTGACCAACATGGTGAAGTGTTTCATATTCTTGGTTCTTTCGGTAAAGTCACGTTGAAGGGAAACAATAAAGTAATAAAATATATATAAAACAATAAAATTCTCACGACGTTTCGACTGCAACACAAGCAGTCATCATCAGGTGTGCAGTCGAAACGTCGTGAGAATTTTATTGTTTTATATATTTATTATTTTATTGTTTCCCTTCAACGTGACTTTACCGAATGAACCAAGAATACGAATCACTGTAGTCACGAAAGCTTTAAATCAAAATGGTGAAGTGTGGTAAAATAATCCCCACAACCCGCACAGAGTGGGGATGCCCCATCCAGAAGTGGGTTGGCAAAGGGCTGTACGTGTACATGTATGTAGGTATATCCTGCTCATGCAATATAGCTGATTGTCTCCATCGTCAAAATAACTCCTCCTAGGTACGTGTGTCCTCACATATGTGTTCCCCCAAGCGGACGGCCTTTACATAAGATGGAGTTGTGAGATCTGCTTGTGTGCAGCAGCAAGATCAGGGATGATAACAGCGTGGTGGGGGCCTTCATCCAGAAGTTGATAGACACTTAGGACATTGATGGAATGTTCCCTAAGCCAAGTGTCCGAGCTTAATGTAGCTCAACAGCAAATGGATAGCTGACTGAGTGCTGCCGCGTGTAAATATTGTAATAATGGCTAATTGAAGGCCATTATCTAAGTAGTCTTTGATTCAACTTACTGCTGCCTCGGTGGACGTCTTCTTAATGGCTTCAATGATTTGTATGTTCCATTCTTTTCTCTTCGTCAACTTCTCCAGCCAATCGTGGTGGGAGGCCTGATCGCATCAATCACACGTGGAAACATTAAACCGAAATCAACGACGACACATGCAACAACGTTGTTTCCCCCACTTGACAAGCGCGCAAAAAAAAAAACGCACGCAGACACACACGCTCACCTGCATCGTTTCCGCTGCCTCAACATCGGACAGGATCCTGTGCCCGTTGTGCCGCATGGAGGTCTGGCATCGCACGCACATGACCTGCCCATCGTCCGCGCAGTACACGCGCAGGTGTGCGCCGTGCTTGCTGCAGCGCGCGATGCACGAGGGTGCCGGGGGCATGGAGCCCTCGCCGGGGTCGGCGTCTGCGTCCGAGTCCCCGGCAGGGCCGGTCCACACGCATTCGGCGTCGCCGCGCACGTCAGCGCCGCACCTCTCCGCGTCGTTGTCGCTACGGGGCGCTTCGTCGCACGCCTCCGCTACAGGTACGGGTGGCGGCGGCGGCGGTGGCGGTGGCGGCGCTCCGTACCAGATCTCGCTCAGGCAGCCGGGCTCTTTGGACGCTCCACGCGTGTCTGTGCCCACGCGCTCGAGCGGTTGGGCGGGAATGGTGTTGGCGCTTAGAAGGTCAGAGAAGAACTCCAGCCCAGGGTTTTGGACGCCGGACACGTCGTTCGTGACGCTGATTTCGAGGGCTCTGGCCAGACACGGCGGAGGCAACTTTGCCACCGTCGCTGCCTCTCTGTTTCCCTCGGTAGCGGACACTTCTATGTCAAACTGGAGCGGCTCGCTTGAGTCGGAGGACATGTTCGCCTTCCCGGTAGAAGCTGTCCCTGCGTTATAGACCCTGAAAACAAACTGGAATCATGTAAATTTTGATTTAAAGCTTTCGTGACTGCAGTAATTCATATTCTTAGTTTTTTCGGTAAAGTCACGTTGAAGGGAAACAACAAAATAATAAAATATATATTTATCATGTAACTTTATGCTTTACAAACAGTCGCAGACAATGTACTTGCTAACACGTAGAATATATTTAGATTTTTATTACGAATTCCCGTAATTTCTAGTTCCCGTTTTTTTATTTATAATCGTCATGCAACGAAGGGAGAATATGAAAATTGTCGCATACTTTGTTGATTTAGTTACAACAGTAATGTGCATAACACAGAAGATGGTGAGAGTGAAATTATTTAAGTGTGTTTGTTGAGGACAGTGCTGGTGGACTTTAGTCAGTGCCCCATGCCCTCTGAGATATCACGAAATGTTCCTGAAATAATGCAGTGGCCATGTGGACTTGACTCTCGGCCGATGGGTTGCCTCGAAGACAATAATATTAGCACGCTGTATGGTTGAACACATTTATCCACGACTTGTCGCATTTCTCTCCATCCACCTGCAATAACACCATCCCTCCTTCAGTCTCTGCAAGCACGTTACTACTAGACAGTAAAACCCAGCAGGTTTGCAACTATACATTGTTTGTGACGGCATAGCTTTACGCGGAGTTGCACGTGCGACAGAGCGCAGTCCCCTACCGCGCAGCAAAAATAAGTCTGCATTTGATACACTCTTTCCGAGCGCACGTGTATTATATTAGAATAGAAACAACAACAAAACCCCGCTATACTGTTACATGTGAACAAAACAATACAATAGCTGTATTGTCACTTTCGGACAAAAGTAGCGTGCAACTCACTCTGCAGCTGTGTTTGAGCTTGGGCTGGTGAGGAACAGTGTGTGTGAGATTGCCTATCGGAGTATCGTGGGCTTTCTCGTGGTTTCGTTGGGAAATGGGTATTTTCGAACTGCTTCCGCATTCTGCAGTGCCACTATGCCACAGAGGACCATTATGAATTGTGGCTGCTAGGTTCACTTATTTTTGTTGCAGTTAAAGTTTTTGTTTAATTTACAGTTTGGTTTTTCAACTTTTTTTTTTAAGATTCGCTTTACATATTTATTGCACTTAAATATCAATATGCAGTCATAGTTGCAAATAACGTGTATCCACGTATTTTTAATTAAAGCGTCAAGCGTGCATTTTAAACATTACATATTTATGGCTGTTTGTGTAATGACTGGTGATTCACAGTTGCTTAATTCACTTTTAAATTTTGATTTAAAGCTTTCGTGACTGCAGGGATTCATATTCTAGGTTCTTTCGGTAAAGTCACGTAGAAGGGAAACAATAAAATAATAAAAATATAAAACAATAAAATTCTCACGACGTTTCGACTGCAACACAGATGATGATTGCTTGTGTTGCAGTCGAAACGTCGTGATAATTTTATTGTTTTATATTTTTATGATTTTATTGTTTCACTTTTAAATGTTATGTATTTCAAACATTCCGAGACAATATACTTGTTAACACGTATAATAATGATATATTTTTGTTATCGTACATTTTTTTGAGTTCCTGTTTATTTTAGTTTTTCACAGATGTCATTCGGGAAGGAAGAATATGGAAGTTGTAGCAAGCTTTGTTAATTTAGCCACTAAAGTAATCTGTATACTACGGAAGGTTGTGAAATTGCGATGAAGAAGTGTTTTACTCTCGCAAGAAGTATATATTTTCAAAGGATTTACTTGAGCCACTTTGGGAGAGTAGGGAGGTCGACAGTATTTAGAGACGGGTAATTAAAGCTGTTGTAACGTCGTGTACTGTGCAAAGTGGAAGATCTGGAATTTATAAAACAACTGGAAAATACGTTTGAGGCCAAATAATAATACAATAATTACTTATTAGCAGTGGCCTCTAACGGCGTAACTATTAGTCATCTCCCCGATTCGGCGATGAGTTACAACTATTCAGGTTTGCGAATCGATTGAAGAATCCTTGTTTGACACTCCGCTTGATTACGGTCTGTAGTGAATGCAGGATTTCGAATAGGGTGATGACCATTAACTCTTCCAGTGAGTCGAATAACTCACTGTATCATGGTGCCCTATGAAAGAAAACCACACAGAGTCCAAGGACTTTTTTTTCATAAAAATCCTGCATTGGGTTTTTATTGAATATGTTTGCAAGAAAAAAAGAAGTGGGGCGATGTGGTGCGATCGGACATGGTGGCCCGAGGAGCGGAAAGAGAGAGAAGGTTGGCAAGGACAGCGGACCCCACTTGAGTGGGACAAACGCGTGGAAGAAGAAAATACATCTAACAACTACAATTCCTTATAGAGGAAACATGCTAATTAACTGATTACTAATCTATCATATAATTACAATACCCCCCCCTCCGCCTATGATCTCTGCACCTGATGGGTTTAGAGATGATGTCATCGTGCTCTATTTAAGACCGGAAACAGGTGGATTGCTTCACTATTCTGGCCTATGGCTCGATGGTGCTGGATGTAATTACCAGCAAAACGTCGTACTCAAATTGTCAATGTTGTGGATTTACTCTCCAACACACAGGTGGGCTGAAGTAGTAACTAACTGGCGCGTTGTTTACATGACAAACCTTATTGGCGGTGTCGAGTGGTGGAGGGTTACGACAGATTTATACTTAAGCGATCTCACCGAAAAATCTTTATTATGCATGGAGATTAGGCCACTTGCTGTCCTGTCTTCTGGAAAACCCACGTAGAAGGGAGTTTCACAACATTTTCGTGGTCCACCACCAACTCTGGCTGCCACCACAGTGCTGGATTACAGGCGTATGCCAATGTAATTTAGCTTTTAAAAAACGTATGCAGTATTATTTGCCTACGTTGAGTGGGGGTGAAAATGTTTTCATTGTTTATTAAAGTAGTCTGTATACTTTCCGACACAGTTTGCGGTCATGTGTCCACCGAGTCACTGACCGTCGATGAGGTGAGGAGCAGCTCATAATTAAGCTGGCGCTTGTTAATAACCTACGCTCCTGCTCATCGTCCCTGAATGAACAGGCCAGAGTACCCAACGTTCTGTCCTTCCCAGAACCCAGGAGCACCAAGTTCGGGCTTCAGCCTTTAAAATTTATTAATCCCCCACCCCCTCTTGTTACAGGTTGTGCCTTGTGCTGGGTTCTTGTCAAAGTATTTAAAAAACAGTATATTTTTTAAAACCTTATGGATAATATCGGTTGCGAAAGCCTCCGTGTTAAACTAACACACGGTTAAATTTCGATTTAAAGCTTTCGTGACTGCAAGGATTCATCTTCTTTGGTTCTTTCGGTAAAGTCACGTAGAATGAGAATAAAATAATAAATTGATAAAATAACACAATAATATTCTCATGACGTTTCGGCCACAACACAAGCGGCCTTCATCAGGTGAAGGGACGAGACTGTCTGGAGGACAGCGCTGGAGTGAAAAAGCCACGCTCAGATCGCGACCTTTAAGCTGTGTGAGAAGAAACAACATAGCCATTTCTGTGACCAGTCACAAGCTAATCACACAGTTATTTCAATGCTAAATTCGCCTAGTTATTTCAATGCTAAATTCTCCTGTTTGATTTGTACTAGGTGCCTCTGTGAATGTGTATGCTCTGACTTTAACATAGCTATTTCTGTGACCAGTTACAAGCTAATCACTCAGCTATTTCAATGCTAAATTCTATGCTAATTCCTTTGTCAAGGGGTGCCTCTGCGGATGTGTATGCTTTAACTTAGCTATTTCAATGCTAAATTCTATGCTAATTCCTTTGTCAAGGGGTGCCTCTGCGGATGTGTATGCTTTAACTTTAACATAGCCATTTCTGTGACCAGTCACAAGCTAATCACTCAGCCATTTCAATGCTAAATTCTATGCTAATTCCTTTGTCAAGGCGCTTTGTTTCTTCTCACACAGCTTAAAGGTCGCGATCTGAGCTTGGCTTTTTCACTCCAGCGCTGTCCTCCAGACAGTCTCGTCCCTTCACCTGATGAAGGCCGCTTGTGTTGTGGCTGAAACGTCGTGAGAACATTATTGTGTTATTTTATTTGATCAATTTATAATTTTATTCTCATTCTACGTGACTTTACCGAAAGATCCAAAGAAGATAACACACGGTTAATCTGCAAACTAGGTAATCTACCCGTGGACACATATATTGATATACTTTTTGCCGACGCATCCACAGGTCATCTACGCGCTCAACACCAAGAACGACGAGCACGAGGCGGCCGTGTCGGTGCTCCGCGAGGCGCACGCCGAGGAGATGCAGCAGTTCGCGGCGGAGACGCGGCACCGCCTGCTGCGCTACCAGTCCCGCCTGGGCGTCGAGTCGGAGCTGCGCGAGAAGGCCCGCTCGCTGGAGGAGGCGCTCGCCAGCGAGGGGAGCCTCCGGCGACAGGCCCAGGAGCAGCTGGAGGCCTACAGGCAAGGGAGGCCGGGCGGCTCGTGAAGACGATCCGTTTAAGGAACGGAGGTTCGCCGCGAAGTTGCGTGCCGTTGTCCGAGACTTAGCCTTTCTAAAACCTGGGCAATTGCGTCGATCGAACAGTTGCCCGGGGCTTGACGACCAGTGCTAAAGGGATTCGCATTGCGGGCCCAGGCGGCGATGGCGTCACGCTGAGCGCGTGGCACCCTGGCCCACCGCCAACCGGGCATTCAATAGGAGTAAAAGTAATGAGCTAAGCATAGTGCCTGAATGGGAGACCACCATTAATAACGGGTTGTTATAGGCTGTGAGACTAAATAAAGGGTAGCAGTGGGCAGTGCAGAAAACTCCATTGTCGGATTGTACTTCTGTGCTCCCACGTTTACGCTCGCCAGCTTCGCCAACCCGTGCTGACTGGCACGGTGAAGTATGGTAAAAAAAAATTCCCCACGTCCCGCACGGTTGTAGTTGGCGTGAGTATAATGGCTCAATAATAATGTTGGTGATGATAACAGAGTAAACTTGACCCCAAAGGTGTTTATTACCCTTTGCAAATGGCGCTCAGTATAGCTGGTAAAGCGCCAGCTAAAAAGACCACCCCAAGCTTGCTGCCAGTGAAGCCGTTGGTGTGTGGCGTGGCGGTGATGCGGTACGGCAGGCGGCACGTGGAGGAGCGCGACGCCGGCCGGGACGCCGAGCATGCCGACCGCATCCTGGCCCTCTCCACGCAGATGCTCGACATGAAGCGCGACTTCGAGGCCAAGATCCTCGGCTTCACTTCGCTGCAGGTCAGTGCGGTGTACTTTAACGGCCGAGCTATTAACAACCCATTCCGATGACATACGTGTACGTCATCGGCTTTTCTTCCGATTTCGTTCCGATTACGTTTACGTCATGGGAGCGGAATCGATTCCGAATGGAATCAGAATTAAAAGACCATGTGGGAGGGCGTGACAGATGACCTCAAAGAGTGCGGTCGTGTTGCTACGGTTGTCTGTGGTGAGTACAGTACAATGTCTTTTACAAACAGCAGCGCTGCGCCTCTCTAAATTAAATCACCGCTGAACCGCTTGCGTGTTCCGAGATTCAGCGGTGAACGGGACCCACCCTGCAACTTGCAGGAGTCTCGGAACGGGAAAGAGTTAACCATCTCCACGATTGAACGATGAGTTACAACTATTCAGGTTTGGGAATCGATTCAAGAATGGTTTTGTTCGACACTCCACTTCTTTAAGGTCTGTAGTGAATGCAGGATTTTGATTTAGGATAGTGACCATTCACTCCTACTATCACTGTATCATGGGACCCTGCGAAAAATATCCCATTGCCTTGTGACACTAGGTGTATAATAACAATCTTTAAACTATGTACATATATAAATATATGAATAAATATATCCTCATTTTAAATGTATGTATTTTTTACTTTTGCGCCATACGTAGCCATCCGTGCTAATCAGAGGTGCGGGCGAAGGACAACAATGTATCGTAGCTCGTGTGCAGTTGCTGGATGGATTGTGATATCGCAGGGCCATGAGTTGGTGATGGTTGAGGAAAGCCTTCATCCACCAGTGAATTGTTGATGGCTGATAATGATGGTACAATTGAACTCCGCACTCACAACCCTGCACACTGTCCTAGCCGCCCCCCTCCCCACTCCCTCAAGCTTCATTGCTGCTGTGCGACCCCCAGAAACGGCTGGAGGAGGAGAAAGAGGCGGCCCTGGCGGAGGCGCGGGCCTCCCACGACCGCGCGCTGCAGGAACTGGAGCAGGGCCGCGACGCCGAGCACAGCCAGATGGCCGCCGAGTCGCACGCGCGGGCCGAGCGCGAGCACGCAGAGGCCGAGCGGCTACGGGCCGAGGGGGAGCGTCTGCGCGGGGAGACGGAGCGACTGGCGTCCGAGGTGCGGCGTCTGGAGGGCGAGCGAGAGGCGGGCGAGGCCGAAGTGCGTGCCGGCTACGAGCAGCAGCTGCAGGAGCTGCGCGGCGCCAAGCACGAGAGCCGGCTTGCCGAGTGGGAGGAGCACGAGCAGCGGCTGCACCAGGAGTTCCAGGCCCACGCGGATGAGCTGCAGTGAGCGACTTGTGCCGTGCCGATCGTTCCAAGGGACACAAAGACAAAAGACAACAATCCCCCCCTATAGCCTTAACAGACCGTTGGGGCGCAAGTGCTGTTAGCGAGCACGGCACATGAGGGGGTGGGAGGCCACTATCACGCCCGGCCACCTTTGTCTCCCCAGTGGGGATGTTCACACATTGCACGAGGAACTCATTTGAAGCCGATTCTACCCAAGGGAGGCCCAGAACTAGTTCAGATATTCGTCACTGGTGTTGGACGTGAACGTTAATCTAACTCGGGTTGCCGTGTTCGTAGCGCAACGCTCCCCCAAAGGGACACACAACCCTGCTAACAAGCGGCCTAGTTTTGTACATGTGTTAACTAATAGGCCTGTGATGATGTGTCGATTGCTGTTGCTTGCTGTACTGCCGTCTCCTTGACACTCCGCAACATACCGGGTTTGCGATAAATCTGCGTAAAATCACGCGCCTTTGCGTCCAAAAGTGCTGGCTCACAGGCATTCCGTTTCACGCCGCTCATTGCTTGCAGGCGTGGCTGGGAGGCACGGGAGGGCTCTCTGCGGGGCTTCATGGAAAAGCAGCGGGCCGAGCTTCAGCTGAACCAAGCACAAGTCGCCACCTTCAGAGAGCAGGGGGAGCAGCTGCACAGGGACCTCGGGCTCGCACACGAGGGCAAACAGGTACACGAGGGGTCTTCATTAGGCGCGCCACGTGGGATCTTCGCGCCCATGATATTTACCAATGCCGTGGTATTTGCCATCCACAAACACATGGCAACGCACCTGGCCTGCGTTCCCTGTGCCATTTATTTAGGATGCGGAGAGACGCCTGGCAGAAGCCCGGCAGGAAGCATCCTCCTCTCAGGCCCGGCTCGCTGACACCCAGAGGGAGTTAGCCACTGTCCGAGACCAGCTACAGGACCAGGCCGCTCAGCTGCTCAGCAGAGCCAGTGAGTGGCCACCACACCAACATTACACTCGCCTGGCGCAAAGCCTCATGCAACCTGCAGCCTTTTGGAAAATTTCAAAATGATAATTAGATATTTGCCTTTAACCTGTAGTCCAGCATGAAGCAGAATTGTGAAAACAAGCTTTCGTTTAAACTGTAAGTCACGGACCTCGGGTATTCCTTCACCCATGTGTTTGCAATCGTATTTTTTTGGGTTATGGTCAAGTGCGACCATATTTCTGTTTCTTGTGAATCGGTGTGCTCCCATGGGCAGAGCGGATTGGCTCTCTGGAGGCCTCGCAGATGGCCGACCATGCGAACATACGGGACCTGGTGGAGCAAGCGTCCCGTCTGCGTGAGAAGCTGAGCCAGGCCGAGGGCGAGCGGACAGTTCTAAAGCAGCATGAGACGGTGGGGCCCTTTTAGGCTCTTACGGCCACAAGATGCATGCACGGCACCGCCGCATTGTTTTCCAGTGATAGGCCAATCGTTAGGTTTGAGTGTTTATGTGTATCATCACGTGAGCCAGCTTAGAAAGAAGCTGTACAATTTTATTTTGGTGAATTAGTATCATGGAAGTACACGAACCAATTGGGTCATGAGAATAGCAGGCCATTAGAGAAGTAAAAACATAATCATGGAAATGCTGTTGATGCCACCACCCCATCATTTCTTTTTTTTGCTAGATCTGGTAGTTGTTCCAGAGTAAAAATTCTACTTTTTTAGCACCTTTGGGTGCCGCTCCAATGCATGTCTACAGCCTCCCATCTTGCACACTACTATGCTTTCTCATTACATTCGATTCCAAACTTCAAAATTGCTTACACTTTCATCATCATAAATAATTGCGTAGGCGACGAATACCTGGTTATGCCAACTGGAGCGTCCACCTTCCACTGTGTTTGTAGAAGGCATACACTAACCTTCCATGAAATTCCAGCACCCTCCACATTTACAGGTATTCATAAGCTGGAATATTACCTTCAAACAATAAAAAAAAAACTGACTTTGTTTGAATGATGCAAGGGCACAAGAAAATGTATCCGACCGACAGTGCCAATTCGCTACCCCCATCCGTGCATTGTTTCTCCCACCACCGATGGGCGTTCAGATGTTGCATTCGCTGGAGAGCGAAAAGCGTCTGCTGAGCGAGCGGCACGAGCGGGAGCTGGCGCGCGCACGTGAGGCCGCGGCGGAGGAGCGGCGCGCCCTGGAGGAGCGGCACCGCGCCGACACGGACGCCGCCGCGCTACGGGACCGGCAGCTCGCCGAGGAGGCGCACTGTGCCGCGGAGGGCGCTACGCGTGCCCTGCGACAGGTGAGCTTGCCGACCGTCGCTCCGCCTGGCCGATGCGACATTACAGCAGACATCTAAAGGCACTTCGTCGCCTTTATCATTGTCATCATCATCAGTCGTGGTTAACCCACCGCTGGATGAAGGCCTCTTGAAGCTGTCCCCATCTCCTTTGTTTTTTTCTTTCCCGTTGCTCCGCACCTCCGATTAACGTGGTTGGCTAAGTACGGTGCGAGAGATGTTCAACATACATGCATGCATCATTCACAGGTCTGCGATATAGGAGTTAATCTAATTGTATTTAATCGTACGTGAGCTGAATTAATTGCACAAAAGGGCAAGAACGCTGTTATGCCCACACAGACAGCTTCACGATGCCATCTTGCTGTACTGCCACATGCTGGCCAGCTCGTCAACCATCAACCCTTGCTTACAAAATTTAAACAAATTATATGGTGATAATGTGTAGGCAGTGATGCACAAGCAAACATAACAAAAATACTCAACATAGTTGTCAACAATGGTGTCTTAAAATAAAAAAATATATAATCGGTGACATTTCAGGCAATTGCCCTTCTTCAAAGCACATGCCTCCAAAGCACTGGGTCACAGGAGTGCGCCACTATGTCTAGCCGAGAGTAACATCACCATCCCCTCCACGCTGTGACCTTCCCAGAGTAGCTTTTAAAAGTTTTCCACATTCTTTTAAGTTACAATTACGTGTTCGATTTGTTTACATGTATTGTTAAGTTCATGCGACGAGAACACAATAGAATTGTTATGTAAGGTTTGTTTCGGTCAGAGGCATTTAATTTTATTTAATCAACACTGGGTCGCCCGTGTGTATTTCTGAGCTGCATTGTTGAATGTTACCCTGGATTACCTCACTCGTGTGGTGTCCCACAGATGTCACCTACCCAACAAAGTCACCTGTCCTCACACGGCAACGCTCTGTGTTGCACTAAGTGCCTACTGCTGTGCTCCGGTTTTAGAACATGTTATTTGACTGCCACAGTCTCAAAACAGGATACAAATTTAACCCTCTTGCCTCTTCCATTGAAAGAGCCACTGTGGTATAGATACCAACACACTGCACTCACAGTTCATAACTACCAAGGTCATGGTCCAGGGCGTTAAAACCACATGCGACTTTATTTGCATAAAACAGTTATATTAATTTATTTGGGAAAGCCTCACTGGGCATCAATACTATATTCCAGCAGGATCCTGCAATAGGGTGTTAAGTCACATTCTATGAAAGTGTTTTTCTTTTTACATTTGGAAATAAACCAAAATACCCAGAGAAAACCCGATGCATACGAGGGGCTATCACAACAAGGTCCACACGGTTCACTGCAGTAACATGAAACTGCCCATAGGTGAAATAACACTCAGAGGAAGTGGGATATGTGATGTTACGCGAGCACCAGCGTTTAAGTAGCACCCTAACTTTATAAGAGGAATCTGATCATCAGATTTTTTTTTTTTATCTGCCAGGCCACACGAAGTTGCCAGGGCTCAATGAGGTATGTGGGTGTATATGTGTGTGTTTCCATGCCTGTGGAGGAATTGGAGGAGAAGATGGATCAGCTCAGGCAGCAGCTGGACACAGAGAGAGCCCAACTTCAGGAGCAGAACAGCGTGCACGAGCAGCTCACTGCTAAACTGCAGTCTGCCAACCAGGAGGTTAGTACGGTGCTCTACAATGGTTTGAAAACAAGTTAAGTATCGATTTAATAATACAAACTAATGGAAGCTTCTACTTATGAGTTATGTTGCATGGTATATATTAATAGATGAAGGATCTTGATCAGGACACCTGCCCAAGTCTTCACAATGTTCAGCAATCCGAGGAAGACGAGAGTTATCTTTATTACTCACTTCATGTCTCTTGTCATATGCCAACCTTGGACTTGTCAACCCTCCCAATTTCAGCGGCAGGATGCTGATTGTTAAATACTTCAGAGGACAGCAATAGCAAAGCAAAAATTGCATCAAAGAAAATTCTGTATTCAAAAAATGTATAAAGTGGTACGATTTAGCTTTTAAAATCGGAATGCTGTGGAAGTGTAACAATATTTGCATCCTACCTCTTAAATTTGTAGGGCTGGTAAGTCTGCAAACTGTGCCACTCATGTCTAGTGCAGGCCCATTTTTTTTTATTTTACGCTGTGATCTTGCTGACGTTTTCTTAGTGGTGTCGGCATCGGAAGCAAGTGTGAGCTAAACATGGCCGTGGTACCCCCGAGCACCACCCCCTTCCCGCTGACCTCCGACCCCTCGACTCCCCGATTCCCCCCCACCCCCATGTTTGTTTGGGAGCAGGTGTCACGGCTGGAGGAACTGGTGCGCTCCGGCGAGCAGGGCCTGGGCTCAGCCACGTCCCACATCGCCGGGCTACGCGACACCGCTGAGAAGCTGCAGCGCGAGCTGGACGCCGCTCGCACGGAGCTGCACAACTCACGAGCCACGGCCGCCACCCTCCAGGTGTCAAGTGACCCTCGACCTCTCCGCCTCTCCTCTCCCGCCACGCGAAGAGGGGGTTGCTTTCTCGCCTTGTTTATTTTTCAGAACGTTAACGCGAATTGCGCTGTAATTAATAGGCATGTGGGATGGAGCGGTTGTGCACTGATTAATGCATTGTGCTATGAATCCGGCAACCTGAGTTTGAGTACCAGCCACAGCTAACATCAGTGACGAGTGATATCGGAAACGGTCCTGCCTCCACCATGTCCTTCACCAGCCTGCACTGAACAGGATGGTGAAGTCCGTAAACCACTCCCCATGACCAACACATTGTGGGAAGGCCTTCATCCAACAGTAGATTGACAAAGGACAGTTTGGGTCAATCGTTAAATTCTGATTAACTCCTTCGGTCAGCACGTCATCAAATTTTCTCAGGGAATTAAATATTTACGTTTTCACAGGAATGATCTTAGTTGATGACACCACAAAATACCTTGGAAGTCATTTCAATTGATCTCTTATGAAATTGTTATACTGATAGGAAGGAACCTCCTGGTTACACCAGCCCACAGGGGATTATTGTGTCCGTCCGTCGTGCATCCAAAAATGGGAGGGGTGGGGCTGGGTGGAGAGGGGAGGGTGGGGAGGGGCTGGGTGGGAAGGGGAGGGGAGGGTGGGGAGGGGCTGGGTGGAGAGGGGAGGGTAGAGAGGGGCTGGGTGGGGAGGGGAGGGGAGGGTGGGGAGGGGCTGGGTGGGGAAGGAGGGGCTGGGTGGGGAGGGTGGAGAGGGGCTTGGTGGGGAAGGTGGGGCTGGGTGGGGAGGGGCTGGGTGGAGAGGGGCTGGGTGGGGAGGGGAGGGTGGGGAGGGGCTGGGTGGGGAAGGAGGGGCTGGGTGGGGAGGGGCTAGGTGGGGAGGGTGGGGAGGGGCTGGGTGGGGAGGGTGGGGAGGGGCTGGGTGGGGAGGGTGGGGCTGGGTGGGGGGTGGGAGAGGTGGGGCTGGGTGGGGAGGGGCTGGGTGGGGTGGGGCTGGGTGGGGAGGGGTTGGGTGGGGAGAGGCTGGTCACCCCGTGGTGCCCTTATTCAACTCAACGTTTAACCTACTCACGCCGGCTTGTGCCCGCCCTCACAGTCGGGCATATTTGCAGAATACACCACGTGGTGCTGCCGTTGACCCTGGCCATTTACCGAGCAACCCAACGTTCCTGCCAGCTCCCTCCGCAGGAATGTGTTGCCCTTTGCAGTATGGTTTTCTTGAATACAGGCACTTATAAGTTCTGGCATAGTGCTGTGCATTAGTCCTCTGTAATACCCAACCAACTCTTGGCTAAATTCCAATTTGTGTTTTTGTGTATGTGCAGAAAAAGATTGATGAGCAGAAGCAGGAGCATCAGACTAAGGTCTCCACACTACAGGAGGACAGGAAAATCAAGCTGGAGCAGGTGACTCGGGACTTGGAGCAAAAATGGGAGGCGACTTTGAGGTAAGAATACAGGTCTGATGCATATTTAACAAATTTGAAAAAAAGTATCCGCATACATCGATTACGTAACACTCTCCAACATGTGTTTGTCTTCGGCAGTGTTTTAATTAGACGTATGTTGATTTATTTTAGATTTTTCTTGGTAGTAGTAGGGTTTTCATTTGCTCAGTATGTGTGTGTGTATAATTAATGTACAGTGTTGTGGGATGCTGTTGATGTGAATGACGCTATATAAAATTAAAGTATATTATTATTTATCCCAAAGTCGGCAACACGGCCAAAGCATTGTCTATCAACTATCAACTATTATTCTTTTACCAGGTAAGGCCCACTGAGCTACATAGCCTTTTTTCAGACAAGTGACCTGGCCACAAATGATAGCTCAAGAAAAGTGGCTTATCACGTGGAAATTTGTAGCAGTAGCAAAATACTCTGAACGCCCATTGATTCTAAACATTGAAGGAAAAATCAGAGGATCCGGAGAAAAATCACCATGACCACGGGGAGGACATGCAAACTCCAAATCTAGATGCGTCGGGCGAGGCGGATAACATCTCGCCAACGCGGCACCCCTTGCGATTGGCGCTGCCGCGTTGTGCCCGTGCCTCCAGGTCCAAGTGCGAGCGGCTGCGCGAGGAGCTGGAGGCGCAGCACGCTCAGAGCAAGCGCACGGCGCTGGAGCAGCTGAGCCAGGTCAAGGACCAGGAGCTGGCGGCCACGCGCGACGGCTGGCAGCGCAAGATCCAGGACCTTCTTGACCAGGTGACGAACGGGCGACTTGCCCGAGGAAACACCGCTCACGCCACATGCCTAAAAATGAGCCAGTCGGGCTTAGTTTGGTTATCTAACTATGGTGGGACGTACAATAGAATAATTTCAGCATGCAGGTGGGTAGTTTCATAGCTATCGGGGTGTTCTTATAGGTGTGCGTTTGTTATTATATTCACATGAAGGTAATTGTGCTTTTGCGGCCGTCTGGAACGCTCTTCCTTTGGATATGCACTTTTAAATCTAGATTGAAAACTAATTTCTTCAGAACTGCTTTTTGTGTTCAGTGTTGTTGTCCTTTCCCCGTACCTCCAAATAGCACGGTTGGCTACGTATGGTGCGAAAGAAGTTCAACATACATACATACATATAGGATACGGGAATTATAAATGCCCGCGATGGATGGAGTGCGGATAACAGCGTTCAGTGTTTTCTTGCCTATTTTTATTATACCTGCTTTGAGATGGTTTTAAAATATTTCAGCAAGTCATTTTGGACTGATTTCCTCCCCTTTCACTGCTGTATACTTCGAATGAGAAACATCCCAATTTGAGAAGTGAGGGCCGAACTGGTGATATCGATAGCTGATAACGTTTTAACAAAATACAGGTATGCATCAATTTCAAATAAATATAGTCCTGGTTGAACAAAGTTAAATTGTGTTTAATTGTTTTTTTGTTGTTGCTGACAATAGTGCAAAGCAGTGACATGTTTTCCTTCTGATGCATAGAGAAAATCTCTAGGGGAAAGCTTGCAGAAGGCGATTGCCAACGTAAGTGAGGGCGGTGGGCATGGGAGAGGCATGTGCATGGGCAATGCATCATGAGCAAGCCTGCATGACCATACATTGTACAAAGCAGGTTCATTTGCACTCATGGATTTGATGTGCCTACAATTGCATGCATTGCATATGATATGTTTATTTGCACTTCAAGCGTGCCGTTCAAGTATCTGTTCTTGTTTGTGCTACTATTATTAGCGATGGGTTTTACTTACATTCATTACGAATGTTTTGGTCCACCCGTTCGATCGTTTGCGAATTTCCCATCGGCCCCGTAAGGTGAGCAACCCGGGACCGAGATTCACGCGCGCAACATGGCTCATTACTTCCGACAGATCTCACTGCTCAAGCAGAACCTGGAGCTGCAGCTGACGCAGTCGCAGGACTCGCTGCAGCGCCTGCAGGCGCAGTACGGCCTGGAGAGGGAACGCACACGCGAGCACCTTGCTGACGCCCAGCGCGACTACGAGGAGCGTGTGGCCGCCATCGAGGAGAGACACCGGGCAGCCGCGCAGGCCGCGGAGGCCCAGAGATTGCGCAAAAATTCCGTAAGTCTCGTCCCTGCGTAAAACCAGTTTATTGGCCCGGGTGCGCATCCTGCGTTGGAATGTTGCACAGTGGTTGCCACCTGGAAATCCAAGGTGTAGCATGGTTGGGTATGGGCCCCTGGTGCAAGGCATTAAATGCACCCCCCCGCCTGCCCACCCAATCGAATATTTTTCACCTCTTCATAGCCTGGCTCCTGGGCCTCTTTGTCCCATAGGCCCCCGGTGCACAAGCACCGCCTGCACACTTAACGGCTAAGCTACTGATCGGTCTGTTTACCGCGACGCGTGCATGAACGTGGAACGAGGTGCATCCCTCGTGCGTGACAACGGTCCGCTTCAGGAGCTGGAGGAGCGTCTGGGTCGGCAGCGCGAGGAGGCCCTGGCGGCACTGCGGATAGAGCATGGCACTGCAGTGGCAACCCTGCTCGATCGCACCCACGGCGAGCTCAGCGCGGAGCGGGAGCGCTGGCGGGAGAAGAAACAGAGGGAGCTGGGTACGCGGCGCGGATGTGCGATTTGTGCAGCTCATGTGCACACACGTCCATCCACACATATATATGCACAGACATACCCCATACAAGCAGACTTTACTTCTCCGTAAATAAGAGGCAGTCATCATCAGCATCCATGATCATTTGAACACGTAGGATTTTCTACTTAGACGAAGGACTTCCCAATCCGTAGCTATGTCACAATCTATTGAGCACCTACACAAAGCATTTGTACATATTTATTAGAGATTACACTGTGGTTTTGTGCAATGATGTGGTCTATAATGATGGTCATGTGGCCTGTTCCACAATATCCTCCTCTTCCCAGCCTATACGCTCCAGGCAATGCCACATAGTTCACAGGCACCACCTCGTGGCAGAGCGCTGCACATGGCCCTCTCAATATATTTCTTTCTCCTGCTTCTGCAGACAAGCGTATACTTACACCGTTAAAAGAAAAGAAAAAATGTAACAGGTGACGTTTTCGGGCAATGACTCTTCTTCTCAGAGCATACAAATTATTACCTCCAAAGCGCTGGATTGCAGGTGTGCGCCAACTGGCCCAGCTAAATACTTTACACACGCAACGTGCCCTGCTTCTTCCGTGTGAACGTCGCCATCGGGTGCTTGCGCCCCCTATAGAGGCGCTGCGCGTGGAGCTGTCCCAGCAGCACGTGGCCAGCATGGAGCGGGCGGGAAGTGCGCACCAGCAGCAGCTGGCGGCCATCCGTCTCGAGCTTGAGCAAGCGCGGACAGCTGCCCGCCTAAAGGTCAGCCTCTGCCCTCTACCTCTCTCTCTCCGTGGGCTGCACCACATCTGTTTTGCGTGCCATGTGCATGATCGTCTGTGGTTATGCATAATGAGGGAGTGGCAGCCAAGGAATGGAACGCGTTCGAGTGCACGTCCACCAAGGAGGTGGAATGCTGAAAACAGTTCACGTGCGGGTTTCTACTGCTTTTCAGCCATCAATTAACTGCTGGATGAAGGCTTCCCTAAGCCATCGCTAACTCATGGCCGTGCGATAGAACAATCCATCTAACACCTTTCCCCGCACCCCCGATTAGCACGGTTGGCTATGTACGGTGCGAAAGAAGTTTAACATACATACATCCATACAGGTGCACGATGAATTTTTGCATCGCAGGATTGTCAAGAGGTGGCAGCTGCTTGTAGAAGCCTTCATCCAGCAGTGGATTGATCATGGCTGATGATGATGCACTGAGTTTCTAGATGTTTCACAGTTATTGTTAATGTAACTACTGGGATTAAGTCGTGTGTGCGTTTAGACGTGTTACAGCTCCATGATAAATGGCCCCACCATTCCCAGCTCCATGTTCAGATAAACAATCCTATCGCACTAGAGAGCACATTGGGTCGGTCAGAGCAATGGACGCGTCATACCCTTGCTGATCTTATATATTATACTATTAGTGTGAATCTAATGTAAATCTCTCTGCATACATCGATACGTTTGAATGAATGTGAAGGTGGCTAGGTGGCTCATGGGTCAGAGTGCTGCGCTGGTACGACTGGGTTCAAGTTGGGGTTCCAAACGTTGTGAGTTGATGCTTGACTGAAAACAAATTTATTTTGAACTGCTTTTTGTGTTTAGTGTGCTGTTCTTCCGCCGCACCTCCAATTAGCACGGTTGGCTACGAATGCACTTAGTATGCTGTTAGTTTGGTCACGGTGACTTAATAAGAATAACATGCCATGACATCACATTTGTATCTGCAATTAATTTGGCTACATTTCAGCTCTGAGAATTAAATATATCGGTTTGACTGTCGTTCAACTAATAATACTCCTTTTGGCAAAGTGGGTGGGAAGGTAATTTGAAGGGATCTTGGAGGTTAGTCTGTGATATCCGCTTCTGTGGGCCGTTCTCTAATAAAAAGGGTCGCATTGCTCTGCGGGAAATTTGAATTGATACTACGTCTCATTCCATGACACTGATGGCACAATTAAGTAGGGAAAGTGACAAGAATTGTAAGAATTTTATGTGAATATCGACGTGTAGCATGGTCTGGCTCCTGACGCATGGACTGTCTCGCCCAGGAGGAGGAGCGTGCACGCCTGGCCGAGAGGCTGCGGGATGAGGGGCAAAAGCAGGAGCGGTTGTTGGCTCAGCTGGAGGCTGAGGTGGCTCGGCTGCGGGGTGACATTGCCAGCATTTCCAGGGAGCTGGAGCTCAAGGGGCAGGAGGTGCTGAAGATCAGGAGTGAAACTAACCAGCAGATCAGGTAAGAGTCGCACGGTTCTACACCTTATTTTATGTCATGTATATGCATGTAGAACTTCTTTCACACCGTACGTAGCCAGAACCTTGAGAAATGGCAACTTCTTCTGGAGGTCTTCAATCAGCAATGGATTGATGATGGCTTATGATAGTGATTAATAATTTTCCTATAAGGTGCTTTAATCACTCAATAAATCAGGGTACAAGAGCAGGAGTCTGGCAGGAGGCTGGAGATGGAGATGAACCGATTGAATGCGGATCACCTGCGCAACAAGCAAAGCATGCTGGGAGACTTCAACCAAGCCCAGGAGCTGCTCAAAGACAAGATTTCTGTATTAGAGATCGCGTGAGTGCCTACTTGGTGCTCGCTCCTCCACAAACACACCTGAATGTTTAGACTGTAGAGTTTTTTGGCGGGGGGGGGGAGGTGTTAATATCTTTTGTCAAATGTCATGCAGTACGTGTGAATAGCTGTGATATGTGGATATACAGGAAGGCGCGCTTGTTTGTATTGCTTAATACAAAGGGATCTGTGAGCCTAACACTGTGCAGAAGTGCGTTACGACCTTTGAAAGATTATGTTAAATCCTGATGCTGATTATAAAGTTGATGCAATCCTGAATATTTTTTTTTTAACACGAGCTATTGTAGCATAATTTTATTTTAAAGGGTTATTTATAGCCATGTCACATTCTGTCCCTTCTACAATTCAGGGAATTGGCATCAAAATATAATTTATTTAGTTTGCCTTTCTAAAATCTACGGTTATATCAGTCAGTAGAATCTACAGTGGCACAAATATATATGATTTCAAATCATCTGGTCTCATGCGTATGATTCGTTACATGATTCGTGGAGCGTAAGAATCTATTTCAATGGATTAATGGCTTGGGCATACGTTGAGAAGACACAAAGCAGATGGAATCAAAAAGGCTCTGCAAATGCCACCAGTGTTGGGCACAGGAGTAGAGGAGACTGAGGGTGATATAGATATGTGAGCCGGACTCAGCGAGATAAACACGGACTAGAAGTATTTGGAGAAGGAAAATCCAAGCAGCCGAGCCTCACGCAGTGCAGAAATTAAACGTTTGGCTTCGAAGAAGGGGACGTTAAGTGCTTTTGCGTGCACAGGATCGAGGAGGCACAGGAGCGGTACGAGCGGAGGGAACCTCGTCCCGAGGACCTGACGATCATCTCGGAGCTGCGGGCATCTCTGTCCGACCGTGAGCTGCTGATCAAAAAACTTGTGGTGCGTTTGTGTGTCTATCTCCTGTGGTAATTTTCACAGTTATATATGCATATGAAAAATATATAAACCATCTGTCCTTCATCCCTGCATGTTATCGACCCCAGCAATGTTGAACTTCCACAGGAGGAGAAGAAGTTTTACCAGCTGGAGCTGGTGAACCGGGAAACGAACTTCAACAAGATGTTCAATGCTAACCCGACTGTTGGGGTTATCAATCCTCTCATGAAGGTAACTTCTTGACATTTTCCTGTGCTACTCGGTTATTCGGATTTTAAGGAGTCAATACATGTGCTCATGGCTCAAAGTTGCTCATAAAATGAATCACTTTAATGTACTTAGTGACACAGGGAACAGTAGAACTGTATTTATTAAATGCCTTTCACAGCTTTTACCATCATTCTTCCACATCATTTTTTTAAGTGACTGGAAATGCATTGCCTGTTCTCTGCAAATCTTTTACATTTATCAAACATTTTATTTCGAAAAGTAGGTTGAATGAACAAAATCCCTTTGGCTTATGATAACACGTGAAAAAATGTAACATGTTTAATATGACACTCAAGAAAGTTCAAAGGTGTGAGGGGGGGGGGGGCATCGTTGTTGCGTGGAGGAGGCCGGCTGTGTGAGTGGCGGCATTCGCGTGTCGTCGTACAGCAAAAGAAGGGCTCGGAGAAGCTGCCCAACCGGTTCACGAGCGCGCCAAACCTGAGCCAGCTGGAGGCAGCGCACTCCAGCTTGGCGGCAGGCAACGCCGTCAACCAGGGCGGCGGTAGCATGCTGCCGACAGCCTTCTCCAATGGGCCGAGCCGGCTCAGCCCCATCCCCAGCCTGCCCACGCACGAGCGAGCGTTCCCGCTTGCGCGCCCGCTCCCTCCGCCCGCAGCCATGGTATCGGGCGACCACAAGAAGTCGCTCAGGTAAGTGCCCCAGAATGAGACAGATTGATGCAGCGGCATAGCGTGGATGGGGCATGGGCCCCGATGCAGAGAATGAGATTGGCGGCCCCCTGTCTAATTTTTGCCCTCTTCGTAGCCCGGCACTTGGGCCACTGCGGCTCGTGGGCCCCGGTGCAGTTGTACAGCCTGCACATTCAATAGCTACGCTACTGGATTGAAAGGATGTAAGGAACTAGAGGAAATGAAAGGGAGAGGATAAGCACGTGTTTACCTGGCCTTCTTTGAATCTCTGTCTCCAGCTCTTCTGGTGCAGATGTATCGCCTGCGGTGTTTTTTGTGGCCATATTTAAGATACAAAGGCCTTGTGTTGAATGCAAAAGTGCGATGATGGAATAAACTAGCTGCTGCTCTATGTGTGTGGTGGTGGGATATGTTAACCTTTATATTAAAAGTTGGTCCCTCCACGAGCCGGACTGCATGCATGCATTGCTCTGCTGTTAACTGCCTTTGCCTTCCCCTGCCTCAAAACCCACCACGTTACCCCCTGCCCTTCCCCCCCTCCCTAGATTCCGGGCGGTGCCCCCAGCGCTGCCCGTGTGCTGGGAGGCTGAGCCGAATTCCCCTGCATCCTGACCCTGCGCTTTGTTTGTCCGTTGTGAAGACGAGCTTGCACGTGTGCCCTGCACACCATTAACCTGGGCTCCCAGCCTCCATAACAAGCACTATTATATGTTTTGTGAAACCGCATTGGCAGTGATGGACAAGCACAAATAAGAAACAAAAAACTCGAGATATTCGTCAACAAAACTGCCTTAAAGTGGGAAAAAATAACGTTTTTGGCAATGGCCCTTCTTCAAGAAGGGTCATTGCTTGAAATGTCACCTTTAAAGTGTGTTTTTCCCTTTACAGGGCAGTTGAGTTTTTTGTTATTTTAACAAGCACTTGCTTTGCTCATCAAATTTAGTCAAACTCTGGAACAGTTACAAGCATTTGACTATGAGTGTTCGTTCAAATGAAAGACACTTTTGCAAGTCACGTATTTTTTTAGCATGTCTTCCATTGGGGGTTTCAATGACCCAATAAAAGGTGCATGTGAACGGGTCAAGGTTAAACCGTGTTATCTTAGAACCACCCCCTTAAGTTTCTGCCAAAAGAGGAAGCACTACAAATATTTTATTTGCTTTCATGCCTGAGTGTGCATGTGCATGTTTAAACATCAAAATGATGTTTTACTGTGATTCGCATTATGTGAATTACATTGTCTAAGCTCATTCACCTTTTATTGCTTCATAAATTAACAGAGTATGAAGCTTGTAAATTATTATTTTAACTATCTGAATGATTTTGATATGCTACTGTATTGAATGTTGTAACTTTGCACAAACGTTAGCTAGCTCTAAACCTATTCACCTCTTTTTGGGTTGGGTTTTTTTAAACAAAAAATTATTTGACTACCCCAAAACACATTACACTCTACTATGGTATGCAAAAGTGCCTGTTTGGGAGTTTGTTAATGCATGTGGTTTGATAATTGCTTTTTCAATAAACTGCAAGGGCATGAACAGCTTGCAAGGTGTGGCTGGTGTTTTTTTTCCCCCTCACTCATTGGTTTTAAGGTGACAATTAATTTTAACTCTTGCTCGGTCTTCTACTCATTGCACAAGTTAATATCGATTAATCAAGTCGTGGTGTGTAACACTATGCCGTCGTCATGCTAACATGCTACAAAGCTATGTTTTAAAAAATATATATTGTTTTTAACCGGAACGTGCTGTGTTGGTGCATACACGTGGTCTGTCTTTACTCCCCTTTCGTTTTTAGCTCCATCCCGGATGAGGCCGCTCTGGAGGTTGGATGTGACCCGCAGCGCGAGGAGTGGTTTACACGTTATTTCTCCTTCTGAACAGTGCGCCCACCAGCTGCCGCCCAGCATCAGCAGGGATTTTCCACTTTTTTCTACGTGGTTTAATCCCCAAGCATGAACTACAACAGTGTTCATCGGGGGCTGTAAATAGTGTAAAAAAAAACTAAAGATGCGTTGAAAAATGTGTTAATATAATAAAATTGTCATTTTGATAATATGTGCAGTGTTACGCTCAAGTGAATAGAACTAGTATTGTTACAGGACGTGTATGTTTAAAATGTTTTACATAATGCTGTATTGAAAACCTTAAAGGACTTTATTCGTTGCCAGACAGTATTATTGCTTCGTCGATCATTGTAATGTATGTGTGTTTAATCTAACCACTTGAAACAACAATAATGCATACAAAATACTTATATTTATAAAAACACACTGTAATATTTGGTGCATGTACACATGCAGATGTCATTGTGTATTGTATGATGTCCAGGGATTAATTTCAGCCAGGTATGTCTGGGTCAACGATCCAGGAGATGATTCTGCATATGCATCCAGCATACTTCTCTGTGACCATGACTACTAGCCTATCACGTAACCACTCCAGTCTACTAACGACCCAGACAATATTCAGTGAGAAAAAATGTACATAATGCTGTAATATAATATTCCGTGAGAAATTTAGCCCTGCTGATGCCTTAAGTCATGTATTTTCCTAGTTTGAATTCAGCACAACTCATAGATGTAAGCTGGTCTTCTGCATCGACGTTAGGTGATCCACATGGAGATGGGTATCTGACATCAGTTTATTTCCAATATAGTATACACACTACGGTACACTTCACTGAAGTTACTAGACTGTTTGATTTTGATGCTATACCTTCAATGTTTTGTACAGCTGACATTTAATATTTCCTTAAAATAGAATGTTCGAAATTATGTTTTGCTGTGAACTACTATAGAAGGATAACTATGCAGTGGTAGGAATTTAAATGCTTGACGTTTGCACATTATTAGGTGGGTGCTCTCAATTGAATGCCATAGCAAATATTTCTTGTTGCATTTGATGCTTTGTATGAAGAGAAAACAAGCGTGCTACTGCCAAGTCTACTGACTATGAAATTTAATGTCAATGCATGAAAAAGATCAACAGGAAAGCGATATTGTAAACAGGCCTGTACGCAGTGTACCTCCATAACCACGTGTACTGTCGGTGTAGCAAACATACAGTGAGGGAAAAAGTATTTGATCCCCTGCTGATTTTGTACGTTTGCCCACTGACAAAGAAATTATCATTCTAAAATTTTAATGGTAGGTTTATTTGAACAGAGAGACAGAATAACAAAAAAATCCATAAAAACGCATGTCAAAAATGTTATAAATTGATTTGCATTTTAATGAGGGAAATAAGTATTTGACCCCTCTGCAAACCATGACTTAGTACTTGGTGGCAAAACCCTTGTTGGCAATCACAGAGGTCAGACGTTTCTTGTAGTTGGCCACCAGGTTTGCACACATCTCAGGAGGGATTTTGTCCCACTCCTCTTTGCAGATCTTCTCCAAGTCATTAAGGTTTCGATGCTGACGTTTGGCAACTCGAATCTTCAGCTCCCTCCACAGATTTTCTATGGGATTAAGGTCTGGAGACTGGCTAGGCCACTCCAGGACCTTAATGTGCCTCTTCTTGAGCCACTCCTTTGTTGCCTTGGCCGTGTGTTTTGGGTCATTGTCATGCTGGAATACCCATCCACGACCCATTTTCAATGCCCTGGCTGAGGAAAGGAGGTTCTCACCCAAGATTTGACGGTACATGGCCCCGTCCATCGTCCCTTTGATGCGGTGAAGTTGTCCTGTCCCCTTAGCAGAAAAACACCCCCAAAGCATAATGTTTCCACCTCGATGTTTGACGGTGGGGATGGTGTTCTTGGGGTCATAGGCAGCATTCCTCCTCGTCCAAACACGGCGAGTAAGTTGATGCCAAAGAGCTCCATTTTGGTCTCATCTGACCACAACACTTTCACCCAGTTATCCTCTGAATCATTCAGATGTTCATTGGCAAACTTCAGACGGGCATGTATATGTGCTTTCTTGAGCAGGGGGACCTTGCGGGCGCTGCAGGATTTCAGTCCTTCACGGCGTAGTGTGTTACCAATTGTCTTCTTGGTGACTATGGTCCCCGCTGCCTTGAGATCATTGACAAGATCCTCCCGTGTAGTTCTGGGCTGATTCCTCACCTTTCTCATGATCATTGCAACTCCACGAGGTGAGATCTTGCATGGAGCCACAGGCCGAGGGAGATTGACAGTTATTTTGTGTTTCTTCCATTTGCGAATAATCGCACCAACTGTTGTCACCTTTCGATTTAAAGCTTTCGTGACTGCAAGGATTCATCTTCTTTGGTTCTTTCGGTAAAGTCACGTAAAATGAGAATAAAATAAATTGATAAAATAAAATAACAATAAAACGTCGTGAGAATTTTATTGTGTTATTTTATTTTATCAATTTATTATTTTATTCTCATTCTACGTGACTTTACCGAAAGAACCAAAGAAGATGTTGTCACCTTCTCACCAAGCTGCTTGGAAATGGTCTTGTAGCCCATTCCAGCCTTGTGTACGTCTACAATCTTGTCCCTGACATCCTTGGAGAGCTCTTTGGTCTTGGCCATGGTGGAGAGTTTGGAATCTGATTGCTTGCTTCTGTAGACAGGTGCCTTTTATAAAAGACACCTGGGAGCCAGAAATCTTTCTGATTGAGAGGGGGTCAAATACTTATTTCCCTCATTAAAATGCAAATCAATTTATAACATTTTGACATGCGTTTTTCTGGATTTTGTTGTTGTTATTCTGTCTCTCACTGTTCAAATAAACCTACCATTAAAATGATAGACTGATAATTTCTTTGTCAGTGGGCAAACGTACAAAATCAGCAGGAGATCAAATACTTTTTTCCCTCACTGTACTTGTCTGGTTTGGCTGTCACAAGAACCGCGTTCCTTTGAAACCCCAGTGCTGTGCTTTTCCACAAGGATCAATTCTTGGCTCCCTTTGCTCTCAATACATATCCTCCAGTTCTTTACGTCGACCGTCAACATCCAGCTCTACTTCGCCACCGACTCCACGAACCCTTTGTGAAAAACACTGCTCATTGAGGAGGAGTTGGCAAAGCATCCCAATGCTAAACTCATGAAAAAGAGTTGAGAATCAGTGAGGCTGTCATGGTAACATATAAACAATACATTTATTTGCCTCATATGGCATACACGATACAACACGTGAACTGATGTTTATATGCAGGTCTGGGGATATGCAATTTGAGATTGACCATGTTATGAATGGGGAAAACTGAAAATCGTCTGGTCACGGGTTGGTCTGTTGCAGTAGTGGCCAATACTTCACTCCTCGTCCACACCTGGATCGCAAGAAGATTTGTTTGTTGATCTCAAGATCAAATTAGAACAATAACATCGGCATTTAATAGCGGCGTGGGTCTTACCTGGTAAAATAAAACAAAAATAGTTTAGTGGCTTTGGCCACATGGGCGACAATATTTTCCTTGCAGGCGGGCACGTGACTCGCAGGTCAGAGTCACGTGGTGTGCTGAAGGTTGAGACGCACGCGGACCTCGGATATTTGAATTATAATCTATAACCATCCGTTGTTAAAAGTACCAAAAAAATCACACATTCAGCTTAAGTAACATAAATCTAGAGTTAATGCTAGAATGCATTTTCGTGTGTTGTATTGTTGGCTAAATGTTAAGTTAATATAGAAAATTCTAGTTAATGAGCGGTTGGAATGTTGCGTAAAGCTAAATGTTTAACGATCGCATAAAGTAGCTTTCCTCGTTTACTGAAAATGTTCTTTGTCATTGTAATTGTTGACCATAGCTTCCTGGTGAATCAATTATCTGAACCGGTCCTGGTTCTCCCCTAGGTCGACTCAACCCCAAATGAGTACCTGGTGTGCTGTGGTGTAAGCATCGCCACTGAGGAGACAAAGGCGGCCGGGTGTGGTGCTGGCCACCAACCCCCTCGTGTGCCGTGCCACTAACAGCACTTGCCCGAACAGTCTGTTACAGGCTATACGGGGGATCATTGTATTTGGTGTATTGGACACCACTGATCTATTGTGTTATTAATTGAATATTTTTGCTCAATTCTAAGATGATAAATGCGATGTATATACTATCTCGTTGCTACAAGTGGACACGTGTATTCAATGAATAAGTGCACACTTTGTATATATTGTTCTGTGTAGAAAATTACCCGGCATGGTATGTTTGGATGTCAATAAAATCAAATTGTTTTCGTGAATGTTTTTGGTGTGGGGAATCAAGTAATGTTATTACATCAAATTCGACTGCTCTGTTAGTCCAAACTCGTCTATGTCTCCCCAGATATAATTACCGTATATAAAGGAACCTGCAAATTTCTTTGCATGTATAACTGTGCTGTAAACTCGGGCAAAAAGAAAACGTTGAACGATTGTTTGGTACTGAACTCAATAGAATATACATACAGATTAATACTAATAACCCAGATAATGTCTAAACTTGCCTGAGTTTAAAGAGGAAATGCAGGACTGTAATATACAATACCTGTCAACCCCTTATTAGTGCCCTACCTTATTAGACCCATTCAGACCGTATTGGTCACCCCGTGGCCCTTATAAATCTCAACGTTCATCCTACAAAGTCTCATCACAAAGGAGAAACACAAATATATGTTTTTGTTGCCCGTATTGAAAAGTCTGTCTGCCGTATGGACATGAAAACTAAATTTCCCTGTAAAATAATACGGGGTAAACCGTAAGGGTTTACAGTGTAAAATAGTGGTGTGTGTGGACCAATCAGTTTCAAAGACAGTGCATATACTATCAGAGTATGTTTTTTGTTTGCATTTTTACCACAAGTATTGTGGTTAATGCAGACATGATTCCTTGTACAAGTTTTCGGTTTGGTGTTAACACCTTAAATTTTGATTTCAAGCTTTCGTGACTGCAGGGATTCATATTCTTGGTTCTTTCGGTAAAGTCACGTAGAAGGGAAACAATGAAATATTTTATTTTATTGTTTAACTTAACACTTGTTTTGTTGCCAGATAAAAGGGGAAAAACCTATTATTAGTGGTGTGTAGTCTAGAGTTTAAGTTTTCGTGACTGCAAAGGTCCATACTCTTTGGTTCTTTCGGTAAAGTCACGTAGATGAAAAATAAAAAGAATAAAATGAAAATAACTAAATTAAATCACGACGTTTCGGGCGCAACACAAGCGTCCGTCATCAGGTGGGAAAGCCTTGGGTCTGCTGCTGATGCAGACTGTTAGTTACTGTTCGTTATTTTCATTTTATTATTTTCATTATTATTTTTATTTCTCATCTACGTGACTTTACCGAAAGAACCAAAGAGGAGTGGTGTGTAGTCTATTGTAGTGGTGTATAGTGTATAGTAGTGTATAGTGTATAGTAGTGTATAGTAGTGTAGTGTATAGTAGTGTATAGTAGTGTATAGTAGTGTATAGTGTATAGTAGTGTAGTGTATAGTAGTGTATAGTAGTGGTATATAGTGTATAGTAGTGTAGTGTATAGTAGTGTATAGTAGTGTATAGTCGTGTGTAGTGTATAGTAGTGTATAGTAGTGGTATATAGTGTATAGTAGTGTATAGTAGTGGTATATAGTGTATAGTAGTGTATAGTAGTGGTATATAGTGTATAGTAGTGTATAGTAGTGGTATATAGTGTATAGTAGTGTATAGTAGTGGTATATAGTGTATAGTAGTGTATAGTAGTGGTATATAGTGTATAGTAGTGTATAGTAGTGTAGTGTATAGTAGTGTAGTGTATAGTAGTGGTGTATAGTAGTGGTATATAGTGTATAGTAGTGTATAGTCGTGTGTAGTGTATAGTAGTGTATAGTCGTGTGTAATGTATAGTAGTGGTATATAGTGTATAGTAGTGTATAGTCGTGTGTAATGTATAGTAGTGGTATATAGTGTATAGTAGTGTATAGTCGTGTGTAATGTATAGTAGTGGTATATAGTGTATAGTAGTGTAGTGTATAGTCGTGTGTAGTGTATAGTAGTGTAATGTATAGTAGTGGTGTATAGTGTATAGTAGTGTATAGTCGTGTGTAGTGTATAGTAGTGTAGTGTATAGTAGTGTAATGTATAGTAGTGTAATGTGTAATGTATAGTAGTGTACTGTGTAGTAGTGTAGTTCGTATTAAATCTTGACTTAAAGCTTTCGTGACTGCAGGAATTCATATTATTTGGGTCTTTCGGTAAAGTCACGTAGATAGGTTGAAAGAAAATAACAAAATTACTTGAAAATAACAAAAAAACTACTTGTTATTTTCTTTTAACCTATCTATCTACGTGACTTTACCGAAAGACCCAAATAATAGTTTGTATTAGTGTAGTGTATAATGTATAGTAGTGGAGTGTGTGGTGTATAGTAGTGTATAGTAGTGTAGTGTATAGTAGCGTAGTGTGTAGTGTATAGTAGTGTAGTGTTTAATGTATAGTAGTGGAGTGTGTGGTGTATAGTAGTGTAGTGTATAGTAGCGTAATGTATAGTAGTGTAGTGTATAATGTATAGTAGTGTGCAGTAGCGTAGTGTGTAGTGTATATAGTAATAGGTTTTTTTACCTTTTTATCTGGCATAAAAACCGACACCTTTATTCAAGGCATCATGTTTGCAATAACCACAACACAAGTAGTCAAAATGCAAACAAAAGAGACAACTCTGATAATAATATGCACTGTTCTTGAATTTGATTGGTCCACACCCGAGACGGCTTTTCTTAGAGCCTAGTCTCCACTGGTGTTGGACCAGAAGACGCCAAAAGGCGTACAACTCAAAAACAGCGCACCATCAGAGTATTGAGAGCTCGGGGTAAGCACTTACATTATGAGACCTCCTTTGCCAGTAACAAGCAATAGTAATAGGTTTTTACCCTTTTATCTTGTTACTGGCAAAGGAGGTATCATAAGTGCTTACCCCGAGCCTTCAATACTCTGATAGTGCACTGTTTTTGAGTTGTACGCCTTTTGGCGTCTTCTGGTCCAACACCAGTGGAGACTAGGCTCTAAGAAAAGCCGTCTCGGGTGTGGACCATTCAAATTCAAGGACAGTGTATATCATTATCAGAGTTGTCTTTTTTTTGTTTGCATTTTGACTACTTGTGTTGTGGTTATTGCAAACATGATCCCTTGTATAAAGGTGTCAGTTTTTGTGCCAGATAAAAGGGTAAAAACCTATTACTATATCTTGTTACTGGCAAAGGAGGTCTCATAATGTGTAGTGTATAGTTGTGTAGTGTATAATGTATAGTAGTGTAGTGTATAATGTATAGTAGTGTAGTGTATAATGTATAGTAGTGGAGTGTGTAGTGTATAGTAGTGTATAGTAGTGTAGTGTATAATGTATAGTAGTGGCGTGTATAGTGTATAGTAGTGTAGTGTGCAGTAGCGTAGTGTATAGGTGTGTAGTGTATAATGTATAGTAGTGTAGTGTATAATGCATAGTAGTGTAGTGTATAGTAGTGTAGTGTATATTGTATGGTAGTGGAGTGTGTGGTGTATAGTAGTGTAGTGTATAGTAGTGTATAATGTATAGTAGTGTAGTGTATAGTAGTGTATAATGTATAGTAGTGTATAATGTATAGTAGTGTAGTGTATAATGTATGGTAGTGGAGTGTGTGGTGTATAGTGTAGTGTATAGTTGTGTAATGTATTATGTATAGTATTGTAGTGTATAGTAGTGTAGTGTATAATGTATGGTAGTGGAGTGTGTGGTGTATAGTAGTGTAGTGTATAGTAGTGTATAATGTATAGTAGTGTATAATGTATAGTAGTGTAGTGTATAGTAGTGTATAATGTATAGTAGTGTATAATGTATAGTAGTGTAACATAGTACTGTAATATATACATAATATTTTACAACATTAGTTTAACATTGCAGAGTTTGTTGTCGCTCAGGCGGAGCGAGCACGTGACGCGCTCATTCGTCATGGCGGGACCAGGCCCGAGCAGTGAGTCCCACAGCACTCGCGTCGCGTTAGGAGTCTCTTTTAAAAACATTACGATTTTAAATGTTTTTACCGCATTATTTAGAGGGTTGCTTTTCCCACCCTCGCACACAAAACTCAAATGTGCGTGCGTCAAGCGTCGGTGGTTTTAAATAGAATCGATCAAATGCGCGTTCTGGATGGAGGCCTACCCCGCAAGGCTTTTATTTCACAATCGCCTTTCGTCGTAACGCCTAAAATTTACGCGCGTTATAAATATTTTTTAATTTCGGTATGCGTATAATTTGTTCATAAGTCGCCGTCGTTTTAGGAAAGCGCTTTACGTTGTACAAGCGTTTGGGTAAAATTCTGCTCGGTATAATAAGCCTTATTGCAAAAGCCGCGCCAGTACGATGCTTAGGATTTCTCCCGCTGTAAATTTTAAAATCTCCTTAATTATTTTAACAACATTCAGGGTGTTTATTACGCAACTGGTAGTGCCTCGTTTGTTTGGATGTGTCGTATTTTCCCCTCTTTCATCTGTAAAGGCTATTTTGTCTCGTTTGTACAGGGTGGTCTAGATGTATTGTGACCCCCCCCCCCCCCCCATTGACCCCTCACATTTTTGTTCCTTTGCATATTCGTTTCTGTTTTAAATTAATCTTTCTTTTTTTAGTTTTACAGAATTAAATTGGGGGGGGGGGGGGGGGGTTCAAGACATTCTGGACCACCGTGTACATTCAAAACTATGATAAGCTATACCGCCAGTATAATTTTTACTCCAGTCTCTGCCCCCTCCTAGACCTCGTCTCGAGCAGTTGTTCACTCATTCCCAGAGGTGATGGCCACTTTTCGCTGATAAGACATCAATAGTGTCGAAGGCCGTCACACCGCCTGCATACAAGAAGTGTTTTCACTTTTTTTTACTGGTAGGAACGAAGTTGTAAACTGAGTGTACCAGCCTGCAATAGATTAATGTGTCCGGCCGTCCGTCCCCTTTCAATACTTTAACGAAGTGAAATCTCGTACTGTTGGGGTGTAAAAATATAATTGCGCAAAATTCCAATATTCCTACCAGCCCACCCTGCAGGGACCTGTATTGTCAGGGGCCACACGAAAGGCCACCAGGGGGCCGCCGGTAGGCCGCGGATCTTGCAATGAAGAGCATCGCTGATTGTCGTAGAACTTCATCTGATTTACTCTCTCTCGTCTGTTCTGTCTCCTCTTTGCGGTCTAGAATTGTAACGCCTTCATAACCTTTGCTGTTCGTTTGTATACACGTATTGTATACTGTGTATTATGGGCCTAGTTTGTCCCGCTCCGGTGTGTATTCTCGTCTAATTGTGTCCCGCACTGCCTTGTTTGTACATACTGTTTTTCATTTGTACTGTCTCATATGCGCTTTAAACAGTACTGTCGCAATCCCCCTTTCTGTTGTCTTCTGGTCTGCTGTGTCACATGTACCGTCTTCACTCCATCGGCTTATCTGTAGAAAGATGTTTTCTTGTTCATGTTTTTGTTTGTTGCGGTTGCACCCGATTCAAGAGCCGAATGGCTCACAAGTTCTATACCAAATAAATTAAACTGAAATGAAACTTAAACTGTACTGTATCTTTACACTTTGGTTCTTTCGGTAAAGTCACGTAGGTATAAAAAAAAATTAAATGAAATCACGACGTTTCGGGCGCAACACACAAGTGGCCCGTCATCAGGTGGAAACAACCCCAGCAATAAACAAATTGCTGAAATGGGCAAAAAAAAGTCACGAAAACTTCAGATCGAGATTGTACTGTGTCTTTATCTCCCTGTCTGTGCGCTGTTTCTAGTAGTCTGTACTGTGAGTACTTTACGTCACGTCTATGCTGTCTCGTTTACTGGCACTTATGCGCACTTTCATGTATCAGTGTACTGTCTAGTTTTGTCTCATTCGTTGCCCCCAATTAGCCTGAATGAAAAGTTCGCATTTATGTCCGTGAAAATAACATTTTTGATGCCCCCACAACACAGTTCGATGCATATGAGTGATTCACGCATCTTTGCATGCTTGTTCCGATCACTAATCCTCGCTGCTGTTTTACCTGTCGTTAGAACACAAGCTACAAAATGTGGGGCCTCAGGAGGAGTGGTCTATCCGGGAAAAACTCTGCCTCGCCTCCTCCGTCATGCGAAGTGGCGATCAAAACTGGTTTGTATTATTCGATGCTATTGCATTTGGAGCCCCTGTAGTCTAGGCTGCGTAACTACGGTCATGGGCTGTGAGGCCACGGTAATATAAGGGTGGGTATATGCGGCCGACTTTTGTGGACAGCAGAGGAAAGCGCAAGCACAAACCATTGTTCACTAGCTTTTTGCCCGTCCAAGGACGGGTGTATTTCAGTAAATCTGAAACTTGCAAGTGAAAATCAGACCGCGACGTGATATTCATTGCATAAATTATTGTGCAATTTGTAAGGGCGCGGTGACACAGACTTGCATCGCGTCAATATAAATGTGTCGTTAAACCCGCCATCACACGATACTGCCAATTAGTAAGGTTTGTCACGTAAATGGAACATGCCGATTCTAAATGTTCCGGATTTGCTCTCCAACACACTGGTGTGCTCTACTAGTAACGAATTGGCATGTTCTGTTTACGTGACAAACCTTACTAATTGGCTGTGTCGGGTGTTGGCGGGTTTAACGACACATTCATATTTACACGATCTAACCCATAAAACCTATATTATGGATGATATTCGTAGCGGAAGCCTACGTGTTAAATTGACAAACCATTGTTGTACTCCACTATGCTCCGACATCCACACTTAACAATTCATGTTGACCAGCAAAGTGAAGTTGGGTAAAGTAATCCTGACTGCGTGAAGAGGCCCTCATCCACCAGTGTGTACGGTACATGATAATTAAAATAAAATAATGTGTGTGCTTACATGCTTGACTGGCTGTGCGTTAAACAGGGTCTCCGTAAGTAGAGCAATCAAGCCGTTTGCAGAACCCGGGAGGCCTCCAGACTGGTTCTCACAAAAGGCGAGACTCGCAGCCATAGTTACACTCTACCTTTATTTGTTTATATGTCAATTTGTTATTTGATCATTTGTATTCCCTTTGTTGTTTTTTACGCTTCGAAGCCTTTAAACATTTTATTTCCTTTCCGCAGCACTGTGCATCTCAGTATTCTGAACTACTGGAAACTACAGAGACACCTAAGTAAGACTTTTTCCCACCTTGAAAATAGTTGCTACATGTTTACATTGTAATTTTAAATGTTTACATTCCGCAACTATTGTATGGCGTTTAAAAAAAAGACACGAGCTGCAATTGTATTTATTTAAGGCATTCCACGGAATCCGGGGTTACCTGATTGGAGCCCACTTGTGTCACCAGAATGCGTGTGTATTGGTCAGTCATCGGTGATATTTACATGAATTGTGTTCAAGACAGACCTAAAATCATTTTAGTGCAAACGACGAAGTGAAGGATGCATGGACTTGGCCAGTTTTGATATTGACTGAAACATTGAACTGTTGAATGCCAGGCGCAAGAGGGGTGAGCGTGGAGAAGTGGTGGAAACCATTGAAGATGTGATCGTTAAGAAGCTTACCGTTGAACGAATTGAAGAGCTAACAAAAAGCATTCGCGACATACAAGACCGATACAAGTGTGTACTGCTTTCAGACACTCCAACCTCTACCACCACCATTACACATGGATTCTCATTTTTGTTAGCATGGTGTGTGGGGGACTGATTTTCTTTTTACCCCAACAGAAAATTAAAACATGAATTGGAACTGGTTCAGAACGGGCAGTTGGACCATAATCTGCATGAAATCTGGAACGACATTGTCGCGTGAGTTTTTACTTATCATGTCTTTAATATTAATTAACTCCGCCTCAGTTTAGTTTCGTGACAATAATCAGATTGTATTTGCAGTCGAAAGAAACAAGATGAAGAAGAGGCGGAAGCGAAAAGGAAAGCTGTAGAAGAAGCATATCAAGGTAATGAGTGAAAAACTGATTTTGACATTAGCAAAAGCTTTTTAAACGTTTACTCTTTTGTGTGAAGGTTTTGTACCCATTTAATACGACAATGCATTCTGGTGTCTGCTATTCACAGCTCGCATGGCAATCAAAAATGCCTCCAAGAGACCATTGGCTAGCATTCGGACCTTGTCAGCAGATCCCACAACTTCTGGCCTGGACTCTCCAAGCCCTGACGTAGCTTCCGGAAGTGATGTGGTTATGGCACAAGTAAGAACATTATTTGAACTGTAAAATACGTTCAGTTTGAGTTGATAAGCTACTTAACTCTTGTTCTTATGGTATCACATCGTAAATTAATGCTTGAACAGTTTTAAGGTAGTGCCACCTTCCAAAATATGGTAAGTGTAATGAGATCGAACATTATTTCCGTGAAAAGATATGTAAATTACACGCACATTTTCCCAAAATGGTTTCGCTTTAGAAAATGATAACTGCATGTACCAAGGAGATACTTGAATAATAACTTGTAAATATTTATGAACATTAACAATAAACTTGTATTTGAAAATGCTGACGTCACAAGTAGTTTTGAAAAAACTGTTTAGAAAAGTAAGTGGGCTTGGCCAGAATACGTCGCCAGAAGGGTTGATGGCCAGTGGTTGAGACGGACGGAAGTCGGCAACGCGCCTGAGAGGACTTCCACCATGAAGATGGAGTGATGATATCAGCTCCTGTGCAGCAAGTGCTGAGTGGATTGTTATATTGCAGAACCGTGAGAGATAGCGACATCCTGAAGAAGCTTTCATCCTGCAGTGGACTGATCATGGCTGATGATTTGAAACAAGAATCTAACAGCGTTTCTTTGTTCTCATTCAGCCTCCTTTGGGTGGCATTACGGTGATGACACCAGCAGTTTCATCTCCTGTGACTTCGACTCCCACTGCGGCGCCTGGGGTTGACGATTCGCTAGCAAAGAAAGCAGCAAACATAGGTGTACAGAAACCGAGCCCCCCACAGTCGCCGCTGACTGAGCTGCTGCGTAAAAACGGGATTCCATCCTTCGGTACCGTAACCTCGGTAAGGTTACACCGTCATCTCATTACAAAAAAAACCCCCACCTTGTTTGGCATTAACAATGCCCTGCATACTGGAAAAATGGAAAATATGTTGGCATTTGAGGCACTGACCCTTGCCCATGATATGCTCTTATATTATAAGGGAGTGTTATTGATGAACATTGAGTTTTCTTTGAATACTACTGATACTGTAGTTTCTTATTTTTGTATATGTTCTGTTTAACCTCATAGCTATTACGAAAATATGGGAAATGGTATGGCACTTTTGTAACACTTGATTAAGCTAAATCAAGCTTTTGGCATATATCGTGGGAGATGGTGGCACATTAACAACAAGAACAACCGCCATTCGACACTAAGTGGCGGTGACGTCACCACGGCGCTTGTGCCAGGCTATGTGCACATAAAGGCCACGTGAAGTGTCGAACGCCTGCTAGCAGTTCACGGGACGGACCCAGGTGCCGTGGGTTGACTGACTGAGATGACTGGCCGATGCACCGCCTGTGCCCCCTACTATGCCAACTTGGCACATTGCACACTGTTACAAACTTGATCACCAGTGGCAAGTGGTATCTGCATGCGTCCTTGGTCTCCACTTAGCTGTCTTGGCCTGAAATTAGTTCCTGGTGTGTGCATAAACATCAGCACGAGGGATACAAAAATGTCTGGTTCTGATGTTGGCATTTCCAACCCCTCGTGAGCAATGCTCACGTGAATATATGCTCACGACAGAAATTGTCTGAACAATTAAGTTGGCTAAACACCACACATCTTTGTCTTTGTTGCCATGTCTAGGAGAAGTGTGGCGAGGGCACGTTTGGAGAAACGGGCATTGAAGCTGATACTGTTCCTCTGCATGAAATGCCCATCACCCCATCCCCTATCCATACCATAATACCTGGCCCTCCATCTGCAGGTTAACACAACAGCACACCACACACTTAGTACTTTGTCACTGACACATTCACAAAATCCTCTGCTTGTTAGTCTCTGTGCTGTCAGTTGGAGCTCTTACCTTGCAACACCTGGAGATGTTTTATTCTTCTGCACTATTTGGTTCCAACTCATCACCACACATAAATGTTGACATTAAAACAGATGAAGTTAACTTCTCGGTTATTTATACCATTGTTGTGCAAAAGGTTGGGAGGGCTGTTAGCATCTTATTAGGATACTGTATAATAGTATAACATACAGGAGCTGTTTAGCAATCCCTTGGCAAGGGTTTTACCTACACTTTGAGTGTAATTATTGGATTTTATCGTAGTTTGCATTCTATCTATATGACAAGTGTAGTTATTATTGGCTTTTACTCCATTTCGATTATATTTTAGCGATACTTGAGCATATATAATTAATTTTACATGAAGTGCTTTGAGATAGTTTGATATGAAAGCTGCTTGATAAAATAAAGAATATTATTGGTCGGTTACACTTTTTGGTCTTTTTCCTTTCATAATCCAGTGGCACCAACTCTGTCCAAACTGCTGGAATCTGGGCTGTCTGCAGTGCCAATTCCTGCAACAATCGCCGTTTTCCAGACACCGCCAATGGAAGCGCCTGCGGTTGCACTCAGGATCCCGGAGATTCCCGAGCCCAGTCCGGTGCTGAAACAAGCTCAGGAGGAAGCGGGCAAAGGTAAAATATTGCATTTCTAATGTATGTTATTTGCACATTTGTAAATTGTGATTTTTTCCAATGGCAGTTTATTATTTTTTTTATCATGGCTGAGTTATTTTTTCATGGTTATTGAATTCACGTTATATTTGAATTATCTTAATTTTTCGGGTTTCCCTCTTACAATTGTTCCTCATTCTTCGCCATGTATTTCAGTCTTAGCAAATGAAAGCGACATACAAATGAGCGTCACCGTCGTGGGACAAAGGCTGTTGCTTCCCTGTGAGAGCAATGCGCACGTTACCGTTGTCACGGCCCCTCCGGCGGTGGAGGCCCCTGCCGCCGAAATGGCGCCCCAAGAAGTTAATGCAGCCGCTTTGACGACGGACGCCACAGCAGCAGCATCCGCGCCAGCAGTGACAGTGGCAGAGGAGATTCCACAGCCGAAAAGCGAACTCACTCCCCCTGCGCTTCCCAAGGCTGAGGTCAGTGTCATATCTAATCACATTGAGATTGTCTTACCTATAAAAGGCTCTTCATGAATCCATCTTGGCATGAGGCAGGACGGATTATATTGTTGGCCAAGTGCAAGAGCTGCCCAATGTCTTGTGCGTTTTAGCAGGTGGTGCCAGAGGCAGCGAGGGTCGAAGTTCAGCCACTAGCGGAGGTTTTGACCGAACAGCCGCAAGTGGAGGAGGTGGTGGTGGAGTCTCTGCAGCAGGCACTCATGCCTCAAGTGGAGGAGGAGGCAGCGATGGAGGTGGTCGAGATGGGCGATGGAGATGGAGATGTGCTCGGCGAGATGGAGGATGGGGAGCAGGACATTGATATTCCCCTTGGAAGTGAGGAGGAGAAGGCATTGTTAGAGGAGCAGAGCCCCCCATCTCATCCGGAAGTACGTCTCTGATGCAGCTGGCATTAATAAAATTGCATTGCCATGGACTTTGTACACAAAATAATTAAATTCTGGAACGACATTGTCGTGTGAGTTTTTACTTACATTTGTATAATGTATACAGTTGCAACATATACATTTGTAATAGCAGTTGTGAATGTTGCTGTGTTTTTTTTTGCTGCAGATTCAGATTGCTCAGGAGGAAGAAGGAATGGCGAAGGAGATATTTTCTACTCCACCTGAAACGCCTGCACCCATGCCCGCTCCCATGACCACTCCCATGCCCACTCTGATATCCACTCCCATATCTACTCCCATACCGACATCTACACCATTGCCCATACCCACTCCTATGCCCACTCCTATACCCACCCACGTGGCCACCCCCATAGTCACCCCCGTGGCCACCCCCATGCCTACACCGATGGCCACACCCATGCCCACCCCTATGGCCACACCCATGCCCACCCCTATGGCCACACCCATTCCCACCCTGATGTCCACACCCACGCCCACACCCATGCCCACCCTGATTCCCACCCCGATGCCCACACCCATGCCCACACCTGCACGTGATACTTCACCCACGCCCTTGCCCACACCCAGCCAAGAAGAGCTCAAGCCAAGTCTGGTGCAGCCCTTTATGGTACCTGTTTCACTTTCTTTTTCTTTTGTATCCACAAGTGCTCGTGTTCTTAAGTTTGTTTTGGCATAAAAAAAATCCTGTATTTTAACCACAGACAGTTATATTTTGTTGCAACGCACAGGTGACCAGGAGATGACGGAACAGCAAGTGGCTTTATGAACACTTCGGTGTGAGTTTTTGTTATCTCTGCATATGTAAGGTTTTTTTAAAGGGCACTCTGGGTTCCTGCTACATGCAGGATTCTGCCTTAAAATGAAGTTAGCCAAACCTTTAGTGCGGGAGTCTTGGAACCTAGTGATAGTTTTGGGAACATCTAAATTATGTTTTTTTTTTTTTACAGCCGCCTCCCGAGGTAAAGGAAGAAATAGCAGTCGACGCGGGAAAACTGTCTCCACATGTGGAACCGGTTCCCCAGGTCACGTGTGAAGCAGCTGATCCCCCGGCTGAGCAATTGGCATCACCTAAAGTCCAGGCACACACGTCCCCACAGCCGACCTCGCCTGTAACTCAACCCAAGGATGAAACGGAGATCCAAGCTGCCGACCCAGCTACGGAGGGCGTGGTAGAGGATGTTGAACAGAGGAAAAATGAACAGCCTAACCTGGAGGCGACAGCACAGACTGAGCCCCTTGTCGATGTAGAAAACAAGCGTGAGGATACGACTGAGGCTTCAGAGGAGGTGGAGACGCACCAGATTCCAGACATTGTTCCCGAAGAAGAGGAGGACGACGAGGTGACAGTAAAAAAGGATGAGCCAGACCCGGAGGAGACCAAGCAAGAGCAGGCAAGAATCCAGGACTGCCACCCAATGTCGCTGCATAAGTACAGATTAAGTGATCGTAATTTTATTTCATTAAAACATCCATTGGACAAAATATACCAACTAAAGAAAATTGGTAGCACTGTGTGATGAAACCGGTGAGTTGTATTGAATCTCATGGCTCACATGTCTGAACTGGCTCTGGGCCCCACCTTTACCAATGCACACTGACCAGGGTGGTGACGTACGGTCAAACAATTCCCATGGTTGAAACATATAAAAGGGGGCCTTCATCCAGCATATGATTGACAAAGGGCTATGAAAGTATTATTAAAGTGTTTTTATGCATAAAGGTTTTTGGGTTAGATCGCGTTATTTATAAATGTGTCGTACCCCTCCACCACCCGACACGGCCAATCAGCAAAAAAAGTGTCACGTTGACAAAAGGCAAATAATTCACTACTTTAGCCCACCGGTGTGTTGAAGAGTGAATCCACATTTACAGTGGATTCACACCGGTGGGCTAAAGTAGTGAATTATTTGTCTTTTGTCAACGTGACACTTTTTTTGCTGATTGGCCGTGTCGGGTGGTGGAGGGTTACGACACATTTATAAATAACGCGATCTAACCCTAAAACCTTTATTATGAATAATATTGGTCGTGAAAGCCTACGTGTTAAAGTGTTTTTAAACAAGACTTTTTAAAAAAGATTTAGCAGACCACTTAGTTCAGCCCTGAAATCTATTTTTAATAATTGTGTTTTAATATGGATTACATTTTTGTTATGCAAAAACAAAGTGGCTGACACATTTGTGCCAACCGCTAATTGCTTTCCTCGACTATCGGAGAATGCTTAGTCTAAGACTGCCTTTACCAATTGAACGATGCTTTTTCCAGCCTGCGTTCCCCTAACTTTGTGTGGCTTAAGGTTTAGCGAGCTAAAACAAGAGGCTTAAAACGTCCTAAAAGAGTAATCACCTGGTTATGCGTAAACTTTATGATCGTACGTCTTGTTGTGTTGGCACAGGCAGTGCCTTCAGATCCAGCCTCTCCAGCGAGCAGCACCAGCTCCAAGGTGCCAAGCGAGGACACTCCGCTGGGCATACGCAGGAAGCCAGGCCGCCCCAGTGAGCTACCATCCCTTACCGCGTGGCGTTGTACTCCACAGCTTTGATCTGTACATTTTGCAATCTTTTATTACTGTAGCTTAGAGCTGGAAAAATGCATCAATGGAAATCTATGGATATGAATTCTCGACCCAAACAATACATGCATTAAATTGCTCCACAGCTTTTTAATCATGCAAAGTATATATATGCATTTTAAAACCCAGTTTCTGAGCACAAGCCCAAAACGTCAGGTGATGTCAGTTAACTTGCACGATCTGACCCAAAAATCATTGCTGAATCATTATATTGGTCACTATATAGTTAATACATTTCTTGATTTTAGAAAAGTCGTAAGAGCTTGGAAACCTATTGGTCACTAGCATTTTTTTCATTAAGCAAATTTCAAGGATAATTATTTTTTGTGTTATAATATCAATATAACTCCCATTGACTTATGGGGAATTGATTTATCCTACTTTAAATGATACAATTTTTGATCATTTTGTTTTTTTGGTTTTGGTTGTTTCTAGGTTTATTTAGTTAAAGCTAGGCTTGTTTAATCACACCAGGAGATGCTTCTGTTTAAATAACACGATGCACTTTTGCAGTGATTCTTGACAGTATCAAATAATGTAGATGAGTGCTTAATACTTTTACGTGTGAACATAGAACATCAGCTTTTAATTCTCTGTATTATTTTACAGATAAAAGAAGCATGGTCAAAAAGATTGTGAAACTGCAGCAAAAGGTGAACAAAGTTGGCAAGCCACACACGCATTGCATAACTACATTGGATGTGCGTGAATAATGCTACTCTTGCTGTGACGTGGAGTCCACCACATATTTTTATAATTGCAACGATCTTCTGCTTCTAAATCCCCGAAGCGCACCATTTATATCAGATTAGGGAGACGTCCCTCACCTGACCCGGTCAAGACCTCGCCGTCGCCGTCATCCTGGATACATCAAATTGGCCTTGACTCCTTGCCTGCTGCTGTCATTGAGACTTGGGAACGAGGGCCTACGCAGAGGTCCTCACGGATAAACGTAAAGGACCCCAGCTGTCCAAGCAAAGTGATGATGATGATGCATTTATATTGATGATGAATAATGACATTTGGGGCTACCACCTGCGCGCAGGAGGTGGGCAGCGAGGCCGGTAGCATCGAGGAGGAGCGTAGCGAGACGGACATACTGGAGGTAATGGAGCACGGAGCCAGTGAGAGCGAGGACGGGTCCAGCATGCACAACACGCTGCACATGCCCTCCACCAGCCTCACCGACTCGGTGCCCAACAGCCCTGCCTCCTCGCAGTTGTACGTCTCGCTCACTCCCACCATCACCACAGCTCCACACCACTGTAACGTTCTTAATTTTTAAAATATTTTTCCCATAAGTTTATGCCATTTGTGCTATCGGTATGGTGTCATGAAACGTAGCATCCATTCAGATGTCACTCAGAGCAGCATGAACCTTCGTGTTAGAGAACGGTCCTTGGAAAAGGATACCATAGAGCTACCTGTGAAATCCATTCAGGTGACCTCTGATCCACACAATAGGAGGCACACTTCTCCACCTGCTTTGGCACCGAGGGAAATGTTGGTAGCATGAGAAACTATATTTTGGTGGGTACTTTACCCAAATCAAGTGCAGAACCACATTTATTGTGTTTTTGTGTCCAGGCATCGCTGCCCTGGCTGAGAGCATCAATGTTCTATATTTAAGAACCTGGTTTTAATGACAGGTGGCTTCCTGGATTTGAACACAGAATTTCATTTTTGTGAGCTCAATGTTTTGTCCTCTTTCTAGTCACCCAGCCACCTGTGCGTGACATTGCAATTATTACATTCCCACTGTTAAAATATAGGCACTTTCAGCACAGAGGGATTCAACTAATTTGATGAACGTAGTTTCTAGGAGTGGTCAGGAGCTTGTTGCGTTGCAGAAATCTCTAAAATTCAGCTTAACCTGTTTCGGGTTCCTGCCCAGGGCCTTGATGCCATCGTCTGGAGTGCCTCCACAACCATGTCGCTTCTGAGGCTGGCAACGAACTCCTGACTGCTCTTGGGAGCCACTATCATGTAATTCATGCCATGCCAAGTATGGTTTACATATTTAACTTAGTATATCAGTGTTTTGGGCTGCATGGACGATTCTACAGCAGATTTTATCGGTGGTAATGTTGTAAATCACCTTAACCGACCGGCAATGATCAGCTCAGTAATGTATGGCCAAACAATTCACATGATATGGGAAGGCCTTTATCCTGCAGTGGATGAACAAAAATGGCTGTAAATGATCAATTCACGTCATTCTTTTGTAGCTATTTGTTATTGTTTTTTAATGGACACATTTAGACCTTAAAGAATACAGCTTGTTTAATGTTACTATTTTATAACAGGAGGATGTGTGAAAAAAAACACATTTGCCTTGTACAAAGCCCTTTGGTCCTTTCTGGGACAATATTCAGATGTTTAGATGACGAGGTCTTCGTTGCTTTCTGCTGACGCATCGTGACGTGCTTGTTATTTTGTTTAGCTCCATTGGCAGTGAAGACCCAGAAGCACTCCAAGCTCAGAAAATTTGGAAAAAGTCCATCATGCTGGTTTGGCGGGCAGCGGCCAACCACAAGTAAGTGTGCTTATCAAAACAATTCTGTTAAATCAACTTTCTAAGCATGTGCTCATTTTCCAAAATAATTGTGGGCTGTGTCCTATGAATATCTTTAAATATCTTGCATCTACAAAATGATATATCGACGATTTTTATTTTGACTCTTAATGTGTCCTTTTTTCCAGGTATGCCAACGTTTTCTTACAACCGGTGACCAACGACATTGCCCCTGGCTATCACTCCATAGTCCACAGGTGCGCTTACACATGTTTTGAAAAGCAGATTGTACCCGGATAAAATTGCTGCAGAATTAGCATTACATATATCCTCTCGCATCACATTTCTCACAAAGTCATCAAACGCTTTTTATGTTTACAAATGTCTTCAAATGCTTATTCCAACATGCGTTTTGCTCGCATTTGAATACATACTCATCCGTGCATGTTCTAAATTATTTTCACGTGGTGGACTGCACCCCCCAGGCCTATGGACCTGTCGACCATCAAGAAGAACATTGAAAATGGCGCAATCCGCACCACGGCCGAGTTCCAGCGTGATGTCATGCTCATGTTCCAGAACGCCATAATGTACAACAGCTCGGACCACGACGTGTTTCACATGGCCGTGGAGATGCAGCGCGATGTCATGGAGCATGTGCAGGTAGTGACGCGTGCCTGGCTCTTCCGCTGCGTGCGGTGGGTTTCGCGTACGGCACACAATCTGCCAGTGTGTTGAGTTCAAGGCATTGTTTATAAATGGGATGTTTGTATTTTAAAGGATTGATGGTCTCTTTAGGTCCATCTTTTGTTGCAGCATTAGGTTTGTTATAAAAACTGCTAAATATACATTCTCACTTTTTTTCGAGCAGCAATTTCTGGCGACCCAGCTGATTATGCAGACGTCAGAATCGAGTGTGGGCGCTAAGGTTCTGCGGGGTCGAGACCCAGCCAAGAAGCAAGAATCCCTGGAGAAGGTATGCATGAGTGTGATCGCAAACATCTGACGAATCCTTGAATGAAAAATAATCCTGTTGCCAAACGTGTTTTTCCTCAGACAGCAGCATATTTTCTCTTGAATGTTTCAAAATTCGTAGCGACAAACACTGAATTGCTCCTTTGTTTTCATCACCACTTTTTGTGTTGTCTTCATGAAATGCTCCTTTGCAGCCAAATGCATGTGCGCCATGGAAGTCTGGGTTGTAAAATATAAGGGCAGCTTGGGTGAGCGGATGAGACCCATGGCTGGTGCTGGGGGACGGACAGGCGTGGAGTGTGTGTGTTGTGAGCTTGTGCGAGATCGATAGCTTGTGCGTCTGTGTATATCCATGCGCTAAGCGTGGGTTGTGTATGTCGCACACAGGTGCATGCGCAGACACTGTCTCACAGGTTTGCCGTCTCGCGAGCGTCGGCTTTCTCCATGAGCAGTAGCAGGGGTGGCAGTCTGACGCAACCACATGTTTGTAATTATGCACGATCAAATACCATGCATTTTTTGTGCTTCGATTTTCCGCTTCAATTTCTTAATTCTCCTGTGTTTTTTGCTTTGCAATTAAGCTACGCATCATTGAGTTGCAAATTAAATGTAACTCGCCGTCTATGCCTTAACATAACCGAAAGCCAGAAAAAAATGCTTTGTCAAGTCTTGAATGATTCCAATAATTCTCTCATGCCCTTCTCCTTGGCGTTGCAGCAATATATTCTGAAATGCTTGAGGCACAAGCTGCTGGAGCAAAGATTTTAATTCATGTTTTTTTACCTAACATTTTACCCAACTTTGCCGGACGTCCTGTAAAATATTGTCTTTTTTTCGTCACAGGACACCCTCAGTATGTGCTCTCCTGCATTCCTACTGTCCTTATTTGTAAGTATGCACCTGTGTTCACACTACTCTGTTAGTCACTGTGTGTGTGAGCATGCAATGTGTGCATGCTTATGGGGTTTTTATCATCGGTCCCCCACTAAAACAAAGTACCTACCTGGTTATTTTATGGCCTCAAATACTTTTCCCCTTCAACTCTCCATGAGTGATGGGACAGTTGTGAAGAGAATGGAGGCGTTTCTATACCTGGACCGTGTGTTTATATGACCAGCTCTAGTCGAGTGACATTTTCCTTTCAACGCTGTGTGGAAGCTACCTGGCCTATTTCTGCATACAAAGCTCCAAGTATTTTTGGCCACTGGTTACAAAACATGGACCCCTTTAAAGGAACATCTGCATTGGTTTGAAATATTGTGGCTGACCTACCTATGATCCCTTTTAGGTTCAACCAGACTTGATGTGTGTGAGGAGCTTCCAGATCTTGGAAAGATTTAGCCACAGGCCCATTAATGAGCTCTGGCAGGCAAGGCTTCATTGGCTGGGTCATGAAGCCCACATGCTCAGCTATTGGCTGCCCACGCAGCTTCTGTTTGGCCAGATTGAGCGGGCTAAACAGGCATGGCTCAGGCTAGAGAAGAGATGGGCTGAGTTGTTACAAAAGAATGTGGAGCTGATTGGACTGGCAGATCAACCTCTGGAGGAGGCTCGTGAAGGGCGAAATTGGGTAGTTAGAGGCAATTGCCTTCCAACAACAATGGAGGGCAGAGGAGCAACGCTCAGCAACGAGTAGAGCCACCGGGTGGCAAAGGCACAGAAAGTTAGCACACTGGGAAGCACAGGTGGTGCATCTTTGGTCATCTCAATCCGTTAACACATAACTGGTCTGTCCCATGACCTGCCAGTGAGCCTTTCAGACTTCATGTGGCCCCTAAGTGCATCGAGCCTGGCGCAAGCATAGTGATAGTGTCACCACCAATTAATGGTGAAAGGCGGCTTATTGTATCGAAATATACTGTATTTGAGAGTAGGCCTCGGCAAGGTAAGGTAAAGGTAAACGAGCCTATCTTTACCACCCTACCTTTACCTTACCACAATACAATCACTCTACCCTTACCTTTTACCCTTTAGCAAGGTAAAAGGTCAAAAGCAACGAGCCTACCTTTACCCTACCTTTTACACCCGATTACAGGGTAATTACTGGGGTACTACACATGAACAAGGTTTATAACAGGTAAATGCTAGGTAGAGCGCTTTATTCTTATAGAATACTCTCGATTATTCCAATTTTAAATGGAGGCCACGAACTGCGCCACGGAGCTTTTAGCGAGCGGTAAACAAGGTATTTACCGGGTAATACTTCACGCTACCTTTACCCTACCGGGTAATTCTTCCGCACTACCTTTAACCTTACCCCTTGGCATGTCGACACCTTTACCCATTTACCCGGTAAAAAGGGTATATTACCTTACCTTGCCGAGGCCTATTTGAGAGTGATTGTATGTGTGTTGTGCTTAAGTATATTTTGTATGAGTGTGATATGCTTTTTGTTTTGTACGGCATTTTTAAAAGCCCAAAATATTTCAAAGAATTGTGTCTTATGCACAGAATGTTAATCAAAGGCTGAAAAAACTAAATTAACAATTATCCACTTGCTTCAGTCAAAACCCTGCCCTCTTGAGAGTGTTACACCGCACAAGTGGTGTTTGTAAAGGTAATACTTGACTTTTGCCAATTACTCTCTGTCCAGGATGTGGGCACGAGGGGGCGGCGGTCTGCCATTGAGGCTGACATGAAGATGAAGAAGTAGGGAAGGATGCTCGTCGCTATTTTACTCCCAGCTGGTGGATGTTCATCACCAGGCCATCACGAAAAGGACAAAGGACAAGTTCTCACTTAGTTTCCTCTATCGTATGTGTACAGCCTTGGCAACGGTGAGCCACTTGGCCTTGAAACTTAGTTTTAGCCCACTAGTTTTTAACCCGTGAGGAAAAATCTGCATTGTAGGTTAAAATTGTTCACAGATAATTGTAAATTGTCAAAGCTGTGGAGCAACCATTCATCGCAAACATATTTGACTAATAATTCTATGTGTTTCGATTTAAAGCTTTCGTGACTGCAATGATTCATCTTCTTTGGTTCTTTCGGTAAAGTCACGTAGAATGAGAATAAAATAATTTATTTTATCAATTTATTATTTTATTCTCATTCTACGTGACTTTACCGAAAGAACCAAAGAAGATGAATTCTATGTGTATTGTTCATTACATACTGATTGACATTACAATATTATAAATTAGCAAAGTTACATTTCCCACATGATATTTTCAACAGGATCAACATTTGATTACATTCTGGATCCATTGGTAGGTATCAGACAAATGTACTTGTGACAGTTCAACTATAATAGATACATGTTTGAAGCCGCTGATTGGCTGTATTCCCAAGGCTTTGTTAAGCTGCATAGTACTCTAAATATGTAACCACATGACCATAATGTTATCTTAAATGTTACCACAGTTATTAACCATTTCACAACGCAGCTGGAGATACTCCCGTTCATTTTGGCATGCAGATATTTTACGATATGTTTTCTCTGCCCCTTTTGAGTATTGGCCAGGGGAAAGGGAGACTGTATATTTTGTTTCATGTAAACGAGCACTGCCCTCGCATTTGCGCCGGATTCACAGCCCGGGGTGGAGGGTGGGTGGTGTGACATCAGTACGCAACAACCCCACTCGACGCTATAGGATGATGGTGATGCCCCCACCCCCACGTGCCAGCCAGCGATTTTTTTTGGTTATTTCTAATATTGTATGATGTATTGTAGTTTTAAGGTTTTGTACAGAACATTTTTTTAAAGTCTTACATTTGGAGAGGACCATTAGAAGAGAGACACAAGGCTGTGAAGTTGAGATGCTTATAGTGTTGAAATGGTGTAAATTTTGATTTAAAGCTTTCGTGACTGCAGTGATTCATATTCTTGGTTCTTTCGGTAAAGTGACGTTGAAGGGAAACAATAAAATATTTTTAAAACAATAATATATATAAAACAATTGTTTTATTTATTTTATTATTTTATTGTTTCCCTTCAACGTGACTTTACCGAAAGAACCAAGAATATGGTGTAAATTTGTTTGGCGTTCATTTGAAAAATGTATATGCTTAATGTACTCAACATTGCATAAAATAAATGTTGCATTCTAATGTGTGTGCTGAATAATTTAATTGATAACACTTTGCATATTGGCGTGCTTATTGGTTATAAAAATTGAGCCAGAAAGTATATTCTTTGTTTTTTTATTTTCTAAAACCTGTGGATAGATTGTGTCCATTTGCATTTTACATTTATGCTTGGTGAAGGCCCCCATTTGACCTTGATATTCCTTACATCTCCTGTGATGAAGTATGTTTTACCCTCGTTTACAAGTTGGTTAATGTCTACAAATACTTGGCCTAAATTTGCATGGCTTCTTCAATGGAGCACTGCTTTGTTGAGAATAACGATAGTGGAAAGGTGCCACCCATGTTTTGATCCCCAGCAATTGGTGAGAGAAAATTATATTCACCGACCTGTCCTGAACAGCATGGTAAGTAAAATATGTTGACTTAAAGCTTTCGTGACTGCAGGTATTCTTATTGTTGGGTCTACGTGACTACCGAAAGACCCAAGAATATAAGTAAAATATGGTCAAACCACCCATGGCCAACAAAACATAGCCACCAGACACCAGCAGCTCTGGATCACCAGTCTGGCACTCGCTGCAAGGTGAAAGTGGAATGGATGTTTAAAAAAAATGCTGTTTAACAAGAGGACGCCTTTGGGTTAGATGATTGCTCATACAGCACATTAACTGTGGTGAATCAATCTTCGTTGATTTGGGGACAGTTGCAATGCATTGAAATATTTGGACTCGGATGAGGTAAGCAGAGGGTAACTTTCACAAGTCCCGAACTGCAATACAATTTCCCATGTAATACATCAGAACGAATATACAAAACTTTAAACTTTAGTTTGAAATTTTAAAAATACACAAAACTTCTTTACAGAGTAGAAACTGCCATGAAGATGGTGATGATACAAAAATTAGCCTAGCAAGCAAACGTGATCTCCCAGGCTATTCACAGAAACAAGATATTTTACATATTTTTTTTATAAATATAGGGATTAACCGTATGTCCGTTTATGACAATCATAATTGATTAACATTTTAAATCTATGCCTATTATCCACGATGGCATGGCTCAAACACATGGACAGTGACAAGACAATGCAAGTATGATAATAGGTTTTTCCCCTTTTTTCTGGCAACAAAACATGTTAAGATGTTAAAACACCAAACTGAAACCTTTTAAAAGTAAATCATGCATGCATTAACCACAATACTTGTCAAAATACAATACTTGTCAAAATGCAAAAAAAAAACCACTCATAATATATGCATTGTCTTCTAGATTTGAAGCTTTCGTGACTGCAAGGATCCATACTCTTTGGTTCTGTTCGGTAAAGTCACGTAGGTAAAAAATAAAACAAATCACGACGTTTCGGCCACAACACAAGTGGCCTTCATCGGGTGAAGGGACCGTACTGTCCAGAGGACAGCGTTGGAGTGAAGACAGCCAAGCCCAGGTCGCGTCCTTTAAGCTGTGTGAGAGGAAACAAAAAACGCCTTGACAAAGGAATTAGCATAAAATGCTGTAGAGGACCGGCACGGGGGGGGGGGTTACATAATGTTGGAAGGCGTTTTTTGTTTTTTGTTTCCCAGCTTATTTCCCTTCACACCAACATTTGTAAACTCCCCCCCCCCCGTGCCGGTCCTCTACAGCATTTTATGCGAATTCCTTTGTCAAGGCGTTTTTTGTTTCCTCTCACAGCTTAAAGGACGCGACCTGGGCTTGGCTATCTTCACTCCAACGCTGTCCTCTGGACAGTCCGGTCCCTTCACCTGATGAAGGCCACTTGTGTTGTGGCCGAAACGTCGTGATTTTTGTTTTATTTTTTTACCTACGTGACTTTACCGAATAGAACCAAAGAGTATGCATTGTCTTTGAATCTGATTGTTCCACACCAGAGACAGCTTTCTTTTGAGCCTCGTCTCAAACGGTGTTAGACCAGAGGACGCCAAAAGACATACAGCCCAAAGACAATGCACAAAAAGTTGATTAAAAGTAAGCATTGACATTCATTGGGCAAAGATATGAGCGTTATGTCAAAACAAAATCTCGTTAAGAGTATCTCTTTTTGGCCATTGGTCAAGGCTGGAGTGGCTGGAGATTCCCTTTTATATTGAGCCCAGAGGGAAGGGCAACAAAATAAACAAACTAAACACAAAAGGTAATCCAAGTACATTTTTACATTAATTAAGCAAAGACGTGGACGTTATTTAACAAACAAATTCAAGTAAAAAAAATAACTTGTTGGCCACTGGTCAAAACTGGAGTGGTTGGAGGGTCCCTAACACATTTAACAAAGAGGGAGAGCAACAAATAAATACAAAACGGTGATAAAAAAAATAACCTTTGACATTAATTTTTTTAAGTCTCGTAAAAAATGTATCTGTTTTTGACCACTGGTCAAAGCGGTAAGTGGTTGAAAAAGTCTCGTAAAAAAATGTATCTTGTTTTTGACCACTGGTCAAAACTGTAAGTGGTTGAAAAAGTCTCGTAAAATTGTTTTTATCTGTTTTTGACCACTGGTCAAAGCTGTAAGTGGTTGAAAAAGTCTTGTAAAAAATGTATCTGTTTTTGACCACTGGTCAAAGCTGTGAGTGGTTGAAAAAGTCTCGTAAAAAAATGTATCTGTTTTTGACCACTGGTCAAAGCTGTAAGTGGTTGAAAAATCTCGTAAATTTTTTTTTTCTGTTTTTGACCACTGGTCAAAACTGTAAGTGGTTGAAAAAGTCTCGTAAATGTTTTTTTATCTGTTTTTGACCACTGGTCAAAGCTGTAAGTGGTTGAAAAAGTCTCGTAGAAAAAAGTATCTGTTTTTGACCACTGGTCAAAACTGTAAGTGGTTGAAAAAGTCTCGTAAAAAAAAAGAATCTATTTTTGACCACTGGTCAAAGCTGTGAGTGGAGTGGCTGGAGGTTCCCTTTCACTCGGAGCCCAGAGGGCGCCGTGCTGAGTGAGAGGGGCAGTCGAGAGGCGCTTCCCCGAACTGCGTGCGGGTTGGTGGCTCTCATCCACCGCTCATCACCACCCCCGCCCCACACGCCCCATTCCTAGCCAAGCCGTGTCCCCAACACCATCTCTCGCTCGCGCATGTCCCAGGCCTCTCCCTTCACGCTGGACCGCGCCAAACAGAAGTTCGTGCAGCAGAAGCTGAAGTCTCGGCGAGACATTCGCGAGGCGAAGGCGAAAATGTTCAGCAAGCTCACCACCATCTTGCAACATGCCGTGGAAGTCGTGAGTCTCGCCGCCACTTGTTCCGTCAAGTCACTCGCCCGCGCGCCGTCTCTTGTCGGCGATGCGGCGGGTGGCCGGGGTCGGAGAATTCGCGGTGAATGTTTTATTGTCGACGTTAAATTAGAGTCGCCGGGAATACCACCACCACCCGAGTGACTTTGCGGCCTAGCACCGGTGTGGGATTGTCTGCTCGGCCGGGAGACGATGCGCCGTCCTCGGTTGCGGCTGCTAGCTGACGCCTATGTCTAGTAGGCCGCTGCCGGGAGTAAAGGCTTTGAAGCCACGTAAGCTTTTGTCAGATGTCATTAAAAAAATAAAAAAATAGATATATTCTATTTCCCTCGTATTTGAAGCAATGTGTATATTGTAGATACGCGAATGTTATAATTTACAGTTGTGCCTTGCGGGAATTTCGCGAGATCATCGCGACCGTTGTATGCGGTTCGCTGTGCGTCGTTTAAAACCAAGTGCAGTTACCGCGTCCCCTTTGTTTATGTTTAATATCAATAATCTTTGTTAATCTCTTCTCTTTCGCTTAGCTCGCCCCCAACATGCCCCGTCAAGAGGACTTCGTGTACCACTGGAAAGCGATTACGCACTATTACATCGAAACCTCGGGTCAGAATTCACTGTTGTCTTAATTTCCTTTGTAACATTACGTGACACTTGTACAACATTCCGTGTACGAGTGAGAATATTTGCTCTCGTAAAGCTGTGTTATATTCACGTGCACGACCACCGATTGTCGCTTCGTTCACTCGTAGTGTCGTGTTTTTTTGTTATTGTTTCAAAAGCTATGCCAAATCCAAAAGTGCAAGCCGTATTTTTTGGCAAGTCGCGGCTTGATACGTTTGGTACGTTACTCCCAAAGTGTTAAAAGCAACGTGGCATTTGGGTGTACATTGCCATAATCGGTGAAAATATTAAATGTCCCTTAAATGTTACCAGGTACTTAATGGAAATAGTAATGCGCTGTATTTACCAAGGAAAACCTCGCGGCGTAATTTCTGACTCGGGAGGATCCCGCATGGGCATGTTTGGCCAATTCAATTAATGAATGTGCCAGAAAACCTACATTGTAAAACCGCGCATGATTAATTCAAGTGAAAGGTGGAGGTGACGCTCAAAGCTCCACGCAAATAATTCAAGAATCGATTGCTGTAATCCCATCTCTTGGCCATATTGCATCCCAAGCCGACAACACAAGGCATTATAAGACATTCTTCTACCCCAGTATTAACCAGGCCTAATTGTGCTTAGCTTCTAACAAGATCAGGAACAGTCAGGGTCCTTAAGTCATGGGCATTCGGCTCAAATGTAGTGCTGTCTCGGATGATGGATTTTACCTATTTTGCAAGACGTTAATGTGGTTCTGTTGGTGTTGTTTTATAAATGCCTCATTTGATTTCTTAGCAAGTACAGTAAACTATTGCTCATGCGCATCGAATGTAAGTGCGGTTAATTGTTTTGTTTCCAAATTAAAGGACGGAGGGGCTGCTTCCAACAACAATGTACGTTGCATAATGCAGCTCCGTTGGACCCCTTTCATTTTTGCGCAGATGACAAGGCCCCCGTAACGGACACAAACATCCCGGCGCACCTGGAGCAAATGGTGTCCATCCTGGCGGAGGAGGAGACGGAGCGGGAGACGGGCGAGACGGGACCCTGCATGGAGTACCTGCTGCAGCACAAGATCCTGGAGACGCTCTTCACCTTGAGCCGCGCCGACGTCAGTGTTCACCCATCACTTGAATTACTAAATACGTGATATAAGGTCGCGCTCATTGTGTAATACACACGAATTGCTTGCCTCAAATGAACCACATTACTTTGCTGAGCATTCCAAGGAGCATAAACCGTCATGCGGACTTCGGTCATCCTCGCAGTGGATTTTGGTGAGCCATCGAACATAGACGGTGGTCACCGCACCGCACACTTTCAGATGCGCTTCTGCGGCCGTCTGGAATGCTCTTCCTTACGATATCAGAAAGCCACTGGAGCTATGCACTTTTAAATCATCTAGATTGGAAACTCATTTCTTTAGAACTGCTGTTTAGTTGTCCTTCCCCCGCACCTCCGATTAGCACTGTTGGCTACGTACGGTGCAAAAGAGGTTTCACATGCATACATACATACATACTTGTGTGTGCTTTTACAGCCGCGCAACAAGTTACTGACTTGTACATTTTACTTTGCTCAGAAGTAATGGAGTGACTCGTATTTAGAGCTGAAGGGATGAGGAGATGCTTTTTTATGTTTGAGAAATTATATAGGGTGTGTACTGTAGTCTCAGTAAATTGTCAGGGTAGGTATTCTCTGTATAAATATATTGTCTCAAAGCAATGCCAAACTAAATTGTGTTCGTGAGATTTCGCGAGTCTTGACATTTCTTTTCCCTTGTTCACCTGTAGTGCCCACCTGGGATGAAGCAGCAGGTGCTGATCTTCTTCTCAAAGCTGTTGGGAAGGATCCAGCAACCCATCCTGCCACACATAAATGTCCACCGCCCAGTGTTGGTGAGCAAAGTGCAGTCATTTCTCCTTTACACCTCCCTATACGTAAATAAGAACTTTTTGGGTAGTCAAGTGCCACTGTGTGTGTGCAAGGCAGCGCACGATGTGTTTAATGCTTAACAAAAAATTGATGTGTTGTGTTTGCCCATAGAAACTGATACGGCTGTGTGGGGAAGTGTTGGCTGCCCCAACGGAGAATGAAGAGATTCAGTTCCTGTGCATAGTCTGCGCCAAGCTTAAGCAGGACCCCTACCTTGTTAACTTCTTTATGGAGGTATGTGCAGACTTTACCGATTTTACATTGCAACAACAGTGCGCTGTATCTTTATTCTGTATGAGGAACACTTATCCTTTTCTGAAACCTATGCTTTATTGTCCGTAGTAGATATCTCTAGATATCCGATTTGCCTTTTTCACATTTTCCTTCAATCTCCACTGTTCACCGATGCTATGCTCCCTTTTATCACTCCTTTAATCCTGAATTCCTTGCCTCTTTTTTCCATTCTAAAATGTTACGTCTGTAGGCAGATACGCTTGTGTTCCGAATCCCATACGTGGTAAGTACCTCAGGAATTGCGCGGTTATTTGGGAAGAATATGTGCAGGCGTGCATCCACGCTATTGCTGTGAAGCAGGCTCACCTTAAGCTTAGAATTCTAACAAACTTGCATAACCTTTTGCATATTTTTATTATATTAACATTTTACATCACGTCAAATATCATGAGTTGCATTGGTTGTAATGATGATTGTTGTTTTTTTATGCACTTTCAGAATAAATCTTCAAACGTGACGAGCTCCCTTTCAAATTCAACAAATTCAGGCCCTCTTACGGACAACAAAACAACACTACCAGATGGCATTCGTTCGGAAGGCAGCACAACGCAATGCGGAAACTCAAAACCTGGCCAAAATGAAAGGACTTTTGAGGAGATAAATTCTTCACCTGGCTGTGCTAATGCTCAGAAGAATGCCGTGGCAGTGGGTGCAACTGCATCTTCAGGAGCATTGTCGCCCGCACCATCAGGACAAGAGTACAACCTGGTGCATTCACTGCTCAATCTCATCAATAGTCCCGTGAGTTGCTTACACTTTTCTGCGTAATTGTTGCTGTGGCATTTACGAACAATTTATGCGTGTGCCTACCATCAAGAAACAACGAGCGGAGTGCCGGGCAGCTAAAATGCAGCAAGTTGGCACAGGAGGGGGCACAGCTGGTGCATCTGCCAGTCATCTCGGTCATTCGACCCATGGCACCTGGGTCTGTCCTGTGATCTCCTGTCAGCGAGCCTTCGACACTTCACATGGCCTCAAAGTGCACCTGGCCTACCACAGGCGCCTTGGTGACGTCACTGTAACTTAGTGGAAAATGGCGGATATTGGTATTCATATGACCAAGCATTGGATTGGTCATGGCTTCTGCTGCTGCTGATGTTGATGTATAAATGGATCACTGCATATATTAATTGATGACGACGATGATGATGTGTCCCGGCGGAACAGGACGGGCGCATCGCGGTTAAGGCTTGCGAGGGCCTCATGCTTCTCGTGAGCTTGCCCGAGGCGTCCGCAGCACGCTGCCTCACCGACAACACGGCGCTGTGTCGCCTGCTTGCCGGACGCCTGGTGTCGCTGCACGCCGCCCTGCCGACCTCTCTCGATCCCCTCGACCTCGAATCGCTGCAGACCGTCAATTGGGGGTTGGTGCACGCTGCTTGCCTCCCCCAGTCTCACGTGCAAATCAAGCATGGGGCAGTGACGTTAGTACCAGCTGTGACGGGGCAGGAAGGTGTTGAAATGGGAGAGCCTGCATTGTTAGGCAAAAGATAAAGGTGAAGCTGTAGTTTCCAGGCTCGGAGATGGAACTTGTGTAACGATGTAGTGTATTGGCCTATGACCAGAATGCGCCTGATATCGTCAGATCTTGGAAGTTAAACAGAGTTGAGCCTGGATAGTGCTTGGATGGGTGAGCTTTGTGCACAGCACATTGTTTTAGGATGTGAGGCTATGTGGTGGGCATCAGGCAGGGGCAGTGTAGATACATCCATTGTTTTACTGTATCTCTCGACTCCAACAGCTATGGTTCCTGCTCTCTAACCTGCTCTGACCAGCTTGGTTGAAGTGTGAGCAAATAGTCCCCATGACTTGCATGATGTGGGAAGGACCTCAACCAGCAATTGACAACAGGGCTGTAAATGTACGTATGTATGTTGAACTTCTTTCGCACCGGACGTAGCCAACCAATTGGAGGTCCGATTAGCACGGTGTACATGCAGTGTATCAAGATATGCATGCCCTTCCTTTGTGTGCAGGCTGGACACGTACAGCCATAAGGAAGACATGACGGCCTTCCATGGAAAGCGAGCACTTATCTCCTTCCTTTCCTGGCTGGATTACTGTGATCAGCTTATAAAGGAGGCTCATCAGGTATTTGCCAGTTTTTTCTATATTAACGAGTTGGCAGAAAGAAATTGAGATCGTATATCCCATGGAGCATGTTTCTACCATTCACTGTTTGCACCAGACATTTGTTTTTCATGTAGTGTCATGTTTGTAACAAAATTTCCCTTTGCTCCTTCAGATAATTGCTACAGCCATCGCAACGACCATCCGAGAGCAGTATTTTACTGAGGTTTTGGAGCCAAAGTTGATGCAGACGTAAGCCACATGGGTATATTTTCATATTTAGAATCTGAATTGTACGTGGGGGCCCTTGTAAATACGCAGTAACGTGCAGACTACCAAAAACACTTGAGCCACCAGCACTGAACATTTTGATGTATTCTGTATTCGAGTCGCCTCACTTGCAGCACAGTTTTGTAAACTACATTTTTGGTTTGTGAACGTTCAGCTTTATAATGTATATATTTGTATTTCTTTGACTTATATTAATCGTCATTCCCTAAATGTGTTCACTATGTAGATAACTATGACATTTTTATAAACTTGGCAGCTTGCAACCTCTCGAGCCAACTCGCATTGCTCAAACGTGATTAACCGTAAAATTCTGAACCGTGCCATTTCTCATGATGGCTGTGGCTCGGGTCGGTTCCCTAAACAGGTCCGAGGTGGGGATCCTGACGAGCACGACGCTGCTGACTCGCCTGGCGCGACAGGTGAGCTCGCCGGCGCTGCTGGAGCAGCTGGTGCTCTTCTTGCTGGGCGACACCTCCGGGTCGGAGGTGCCCGGCGCTGCCAGCCGCCACTCGCTGAGGGACCGCCTCATCGAACGCTGCGACCACATCTCTGACGAGGTGACCCTCTCAAACACACCTCATCGTTGCCAGCCACCGCAGACAGTCTTAATACGACAGCAGTGGTTCTGGAGCTGCAATGTTTTGTTGTACATGTGCAGTCCTTTGTTATCCTACCTCTGGATGAGGGCCTCGCCACACTGTGGATCATGGGGGTTATTTGACCACCACACTGGTAATTTTCAGTTTGGTGAAGTCAGGGAGTATACATTTGGGAGAATAGAAGTATAGTACAATGGATTTTTGCTGTACTTCCCTGTACTGCCTACCATGTCAGCCTATAGCCTATAACAACCTGCTATGCGTGTTCACCAATCTCAGCTTCCCTGGGTTCCACTGATAGTTGCCTTTGTAGTTTGATTTTATTGAATTGTGATTGGGGTTTTTACTGGTGTCAAGTGTTTTATTTTTATATCATATATTTTTTTTTTACCTCTGATGTACAGCGCTTTGTGATTACCATTTTAAAATGCACTTTGTAAAACAGAGTTTGTTATTATTAATGCTGCTTAGGTACTGAGGTCTGCAGAGATTAGGCACATTCCAGGCGATTTGGTCTTCCACTGTGTTGATCATTAGTTGATAACATTTGATTTAAGTTTTGTTGTTATGAATACTCCACCGTTTATAGGCAGAATGGTAACTCAACAACAAGCCAATGTGCACATGGCTTCAGCATTGGCCTATTTTTTTAAGAACCCTTGTCTCATTACAATGCCTTAGCTTTGCTCATAATTTCACAATTTGCACTAAATTTATATTATAAGTCTTAATGAAAGTTAACTAAGTCTTTACCAGAACAGGAAAACAAAATCACGTGGTGTTCTTTACTTTTCATAATCAGTTACTGTTTTGTTTCTTTTCCCCGCCCCCAACTCAGATTAGCATCGGGACACTGAAGCTGTTTGAGACGCTGCTGCAGAAACCGCAGATGCACGTGCTGCAGAACCTGGCTCTCCGCAACTTGGAGGAGCGCAACTACACGGAGTACAAGCCGCCGAGCCAGGAGGACCACGAGATAGCCGAGAACGGGCAGATCGCCGGCGCCGTGTGAGTTGGCCTCCGTTTCAACCACACGCCGCGTCCCGCTGCCTGAGGCCTCTGACGCACACATCCTGGCGCAGTCGACCTGGCAGATGGTCGGGGGAAGGCCTTCGTGCGATTACATGACAAGCAGCTGCGTAGCGTCATTGTTCCCTCTTGTCTCAGGCTGGTTTTGTGTGTAAGTGGTAAGCTTATTTGGGAGTGAAGTTTAACAATTGTTTTATGAGTGATTTTACTGGGAGGTGCACTGCAGTTTTTGGAGAGTTCATATTAAGCTTGTACCGATTCACCTACCGTCTTATTCTGTTTTGATGACTTTAGCACCCTGTAGTCCGCAGCAAGGGTCACGAAAACCTATTGCGTACATGGCATATGAATACAAATATAGTCAAGACTGTCGCACACGATTCAATGCATGTTTCACGAATGCGATAATATCAATCAATGCCTTGTTATTCAACTGGTTTGTAATTTCCATGAGGTGGTTGCACGAATGGTCAACACCATCACGGTGGAACAGCTTAAGGAGGGACATCTGTTTGTGGAGGCATTGAGAAAAAGGAGGGGGGCGGGCTCTTCTGCTTGTGACGGCCGGGCAATTTCCCTGTGTGGCCCAGGGACCTTGAGGAGGACCCGATGTTTGCCGACATGCTCTCCGGTGGCCAGGGCTTCTCGGGCTCCGACTGGCTCTCCCACTCCCCGGTCCACTCGCCCGACCATGGCAAGGATGGAAAGACCGAAGTGCACAAGGTGGTCAACAGGTGAGGTCAAACGTGCGGCTGGGTCGTCGCAACCTGCATTTGAACTTGTGTCTTATCGAGGTGCCAATGAAAGGCTAAAGAGTCTATTTCTGAACGTGCCTAGTTTGTGCTGCAGCAGAACGTGTTTAACTCACCCGTGGAGTTGTGTCCTTGCTGGCTCGTGTCATTTTCAGTTTTCTGTGCCTTGTCCCTGATGAGGCCAAGTCCTCGTACCAGCTCGAGGGTTCTGGCTACGACACCTACCTCCGGGACGCCCACAGGCAGGTAAGCCTTGAAAGAGCAGCGCAACGTCGTAATGCATTTGTTTTCCCTTTACGCCTGGAACATGGACTAAACCTTAACTGAAGTTCAATGAAAGAAGGAAAATGGGTGTGCAGTCAGATTCCCTTCTCGCCTCCTCTGCAGTTCCGCGAATGCTGCGTGGCGTGCCAGCACTGGGACTGGCCCGTTAAACCCAAGGCTATCGAGCGGTGCAACCTAGACGCTCCGTTTTTCGAAGGCCAGTTCTTCAAGGTGCTCTTCGACCGCATGGCTCGCATTCTGGACCAGGTTTGTAATCCCTCGAGCTGAAAACCTGCACTTACAATCTCGGCATTGAAAGCGTAGTTATCCTGGAAACCCTAATAGGAGTCTAGGGATACTTTTTCCTAGATTGGTTGGCCAGTTGCTCTTTCGATATTCTTTGGTTATTTTTGTACGCTTATTCATACATGTGAAAGTGTGTATGCTGCGTACATTGTTCTGCAGTAAATAGTATTACGTATAAAGTAGTTCAAACATTAAACCGAAGTCAGGAGTCACGTAGTACATAGTTCATGATAAATGCCCTAGTTCCTTGGTTCCTCTTGTCAAGACTCCCTAATTTGCAGATGGACAAATGGCAATCTTATGTACATGTATTTCATTCTTGCACGTTGCAATGCCTGCAACATCCGCTCGCTTCTTGCAGCCATACGACGTGAACTTGCAAGTGACGTCGGTGCTGTCAAAGCTGGCTCTCTACCCACACCCCCACCTGCACGAGTACCTGCTGGATCCCTACATCAACCTGGCTCCCGGCTGCCGCTCCCTCTTCTCCGTCATCGTTCGGGTGAGGGCACGCACCGCGCCGCACCTCCCTGGAGTCCTAGCTATTCGGTCACATTCGCTACGTGAGTGACCGGAGCGTTACACTTGCTCACTTGAAGGGAGGCTTGATATTCAATGCGGAACTTCATATTGACCGTGTGTCTTTGTGCAGGTTGTTGGGGATCTGATGCTAAGAATTCAGCGCATCCCAGACTTCAGCTCGAAGATGATGCTGGTGCGGAGGAGGCTGCTTGGTACCGAACCCGAGGGATCTCCGTGAGTGATCTGTCTACAAGGCCATCTATTCGTAAAATTTTCCATTTCATAATATTTTACAAGTGTCACTGTTCAGAATATTTACTTGTCTTTGCAACTGGAGATATTCAACCCTGTTTAACACGTAGGCTTTCGCAACCAATATCATCCATAATACAGGGTTGTTTTTTCATCTAACCCATCCATAAAACAGGTTTATTAGATTAGAAAAATCTAACCCAAAAGACTTGTATTATGGATGTTCAACCCTCCTTGGCTTTATATTTCCAATGTTCAACGTGCCAATAGAACAGACCGTGCATGTAATTGCACATGGTTAATATTTTCACCTGATTTCATATGAGGAATTCCATTTGACAGGTATAAACAATATGCATTTGCTAGGTTCTTCTGGCCACAGCTGGCAATTGCAATGTGTTGTTGTTGGTGGGAGGCTGCTTTCCACTGCAGGTAGCCGAACGATGCCTATATATAATGAAGTGGTGATGCCCCCTTGCTGTGCTGCGTGCTTGCACCGAACAGGATCGACCATCTCACGCTGCTGGAGGGTGTGATTGTTCTGGAGGAGTTCTGCAAGGAGCTGGCCGCCATCGCCTTCGTCAAACATCATGCTGCGAGCGTCATGTGACAGCCCGTTGGTAGCAACGCGAGAGAGGAACGTTTTAAAATATGAAGTCGACGGTGTGCACGTTGACACCTCCTTTGTAGGACTCAAGTTTGGTAAAGAACCGTTAGGAGTTACTGATCCCCAAACACTTTCCATCCTCTGTAAAGAACATTCAACCAAGCTTGGAGGAAGAGGACCTACCGTTGTGGATTACATAATCACTGCTGTCTTTTGGCGGATGGGAAAGAACGTCACTTTACCATTTTATCATTTATGCCTCAGAATGTAGTGTTCAGCTTCGTCATGGTTTTACAAGTGTATATTGTTTTTACCTGTTATACAAATGAGTTCTTGCCCCCGCCCCCCCCCCCCCCCAAAGTTAGAAAGTTGTGCTTTCATTCGTCTGCAATTTTACAACAGGACTAAGCAGGCATTTGAAATATAGTGCATTCTATTGAGGCATGTCTTTTTTTTAATGGCCGATGAAGCTTTTAAAACACTGTACATAATGCATACTATCATCGCCCGCTCTGTATGGAACTTGCGTTTTGGGGTCACGTTCCATTTACAAAAATGCACTTTGACGCCAAAGTACATGGCTCCAAACATCCTACATGGAGAGGAATGTTTGCACAGGAAAATCTGTCCACCTTGTGTTGTGCATGGTTTTGAGCTTGCTGGGGAACTGCTTCGCAAATTCACCGAATGCCACAGGATGCAAATTTCCACTCGACTCACCTCTCCACCACTGAAGCTGCAGAGCTGCTCTGCGTTTAACCTTCTGCTGCTTCAACCTGAAGAGACTACCTGAGGATGGTTTTCCTTCACATATTTTTACAAATGTTATTTTGTGCGTGTGGGCTTGCCTTTGCACATTGGATGACTTTCGGACTTGATCCACTAACAAGGCCTTAAGAGGAAGATACGCCTGCCACAGCGGAAGATTTGTTTTATTACAATAGCATGATGCTTTTAAGTTTGAAGCCTTGGGATTAAGAACTTGTTCAAAACAGCATACTAATGTGGATTATTTAAAACACGCTTTTGATATATGGTGTAATGGCATTATTTCTGTTCTGTGGGGACTTAGCCTAGCCAATGTAAAGCAATTATTTTTATTGGAGCAATTCGTGTTTAGTTGCTTTAAATGTAGTGTATTTGTGCTTAAAATCCCATTTGACTGACGTAGATAATTTTAAGCAAGTACATAGTGTAACTTCACACAGGTCGCTTATTGTTTCCCCCTCGTCTTGCAGGTTACTGCGGAAATTGTACACTTTACAGTATTCTAAATGTTACTAATGCTGCGTTAATGTTCATAGGGCACAGACACAAATGCAATAAAAGCTCCCAGAGGTCTTGAAATTACTTGCAGCACAACTCATCGGTGGCACGTTCGCTTTAATGCAGTGAGAATGAGTCATGGTTGTGGATCAGTCATGGAAACTAACCTGCATCAGTGGATTTGAAATGAATATTAAACTTGTGATTCTGGCAGGCAGTTTCCAGATGTAAACATAGGTGTTGCAATTAATGAAAAATGTCAACAGCAAACTCGTAAAAGGCTTTACCTGTTCAGCAGCAAATTGTATACTCTGTACACAAGGTATTTGGAATTTTAGTCTCGATCATGTCGCAATATGGCAAAAAAGTTATCTGGCAACAATAAACCAGTAAGCGATGTTCATGCATGCCACTTATTTGGGGCACAGTTATGAACTACGTTAAAATCCTAAGTACTTGCAACGTCCAAAATGACACGTTCATATGTATATTGCCGTGTGAAGGTCATGTTTGTGTAGCATTTTCACATGTACTGTGCTTTATCAGATGCAACTGAAGCTGCATTGTAAATTAAGGTTAAGTTCACTGCTTCCCTCCTCCCCTTGTACATTGCTGAGGCAAACGGGCCAAACAATAATCATTAAGTACAGTATTACTTGTGTGGTGTTTTTCTATCTCAACGCAAAATAATATTTATACTCAGCATTTCGCCTTGCGTAATTAACGGTGACATTTCATAGCCACATGATGCATTTGGGCATAAGGTGAAAAGCTTTTGGGATCCTCGAGGCAGTTTGCGTTGGATTGTTTTCATTCATACCAGCTCTTTATCAACTTCTGTAACCAAATGTAAAAACAAATTGAAAGTGTGACCCTGCATAACTTCCACTCGTGCAAAATTGTTTATTGTTTGAATACATCGAGCAATTACCTTAAGTTTGAAATCTTTAGATCTTGCAAAAAAAACAATCTGCATCCATTTCACCTGCCACTCCTATGTCTGCTGGTACAAGCTAAGTGCAGACTTAAATATGAATCATTTACAATAAGATCCACGTTAGAGAGGCCACAACTTTTAGAATACCTTTAAGGGAATAAAACAAGTCATGGGAGGCAGGCGAAAGCAGTTTTAACAATTTGTTCAAAGCTTGCGTGGAGATGATTCCAGAGGTGGTCACGTTCAAGCCGTGGCCTGCACAGGCCGTGCCGAAGGCTCCTTGGTTGACGCGGCCGGGGGTCCGAACCTCTGCTGCAGGGAATTGGCGACGTACCGCCAGTACTCGCCACGAATCATGTCCAGCTCGGTGGCGAGCTGCTCGCACAGCTGGGGACATGACAAAGCATGCTATTGACGTCATTCTTTTTTTTAGGTTGTTAATCTCCTTGCATTATTAGTTTGCAATGTTGGTACCGTGAGACAAACACATTTCAATTTGGAGCTCTCGAAGCGAGCAGTTGTACCCTGGATCAGAAGAAACTTCCATCCAAATGGGAGTTCACCCTTTATAAGCTCTGCAACGAGTCAGAAGTGCCCAATGAAAAACCACATGGTTTTGTGGTCATTGGTAACCAGGCTAAGATCAATTTGAGGACCCATCTTATTACCAGGTAGTTACCTAGATTAGAACCAAGGATTTCAATGGTAGACTCGGTGCTCCGAAACGGTATTAGCCTACCTATACCGCCCAGCCACCCTTGTTTCTCTTTAGTACAAGCTTGATCTTCAAGTGTGTGAAGGAGGGAGTACCTTCAGTGCTGTGGCGAGCGTTTCCGCTCTATCCTCACAGCCACTGTCCAGTTGGTCCTCGTGCAGGTCGACAATGAAGGCGAGGAGGTACGGCGACACGGTCACATTTTCCGACACCTGCCCATCCCGAATCTCTTCAATCAGCTCCAGCAGGCTCGGATACCGAGCCAGCCCCTTCTCCTCCAAGATGCTGCAAGCATGGGTATGGTACAGTGAGGGAAAAAAAAGTATTTGATCCCCTGCTGATTTTGTACGTTTGCCCACTGACAAAGAAATGATCAGTCTATAATTTTAATGGTAGGTTTATTTGAACAGTGAGAGACAATAACAAACGTCAGCCTCGAAACCTTAATGACTTGGACAAGATCTGCAAAGAGGAGTGGGACAAAATCCCTCCTGAGATGTGTGCAAACCTGGTGGCAAACTACAAGAAACGTCTGACCTCTGATTGCCAACAAGGATTTTGCCACCAAGTACTAAGTCATGTTTTGCAGAGGGGTCAAATACTTATTTCCCTCATTAAAATGCAAATCAATTTATAACATTTTTGACATGCGTTTTTATGGATTTTTTTGGTATTCTGTCTCTCACTGTTCAAATAAGCCTACCATTAAAATTAGACTGATCATTTCTTTGTCAGTGGGCAAACGTACAAAATCAGCAGGGGATCAAATACTTTTTCCCTCACTGTATGTGGATGTTTATATGTATGCATGAAAGGTACATGTGAAACATATATAACCTGCTACTCTGTCCATTCAGCTATTTCAATTGAACTATGTGAACTGTGTGGCCGAGTTGGTTCTGGATTAAACAGTACCACGTGAATAACAAATGGCAAGTAAGCTTGAGCACATGTTCTGATTGTATATGTACAGTCCCCTTTGTCAATGCAATGTATTTTTATCTTGTGTCATGGTGCTGGATGTTTTTATTGCTTATGTTAAATTCAATAACGCATTGCTATTTAATCTGGTGATATGCTGGCAATGCAGTCCTATAATTCCTTCCAGAATGATTTTGACAGTTGCGTCAAAAAGGCAACACCTTACCCTCTTAAATAGTTCCAGGAGCTTTCGTTGTGTGGAGCTTTCTTAATCATGCCCAGAGTATAACTGTGGAAAAAAATGTCCATTAGAATGAATTAAAAAAAACATGATTTTACAAATATTTGAAAACATATCCATTAAGGACCGTCCGGTATACATGTTATAGCCCAGTCCTCAATTTTGGGTCTCATGTTATTCGTCCATGGGTCAAGATTAAATATTTAACTTGTCAGTACAACCTAAAGAAAAATTAGTGGTACTAATGTATTTGCGTAATTTGATAATTTTTATTTTAAAAGTGGGTGGCCATATTTATATTAAATTGCCTGTTAAAAATTAATTTACCACAAAAGTTATTCTTCCTCAAATTCTAGACAACAATTGTATTAATCTTGGTCACCTCATAGAAAAACACGTCTCATTTACATGGAAGGGTGAATCACTGCATGCGTAATGCAGATGGCTCAAAATGTTATGTTATTTTATTTTCATAAGCAGTTAAACGTAGGCACTACACTATCATCCAATACAATTTCGGCAAAGCCACCACTTGCACCATAGTCGCAGTTATAATTCTATTAATACATGCATCAAATCATGTGTGAAAATACATAATTTTCTATTCATGCTAATCTTAATATTACAGTTTTTGCTAATGTAGTGGACAAAAGTACATGACACAGAACAATATATTAAACAAGATAGTTAAAATAAAACTGAAAAGTAATCAATTCTGGAATTGAATTATGATGCCTGAATCAGGACCATTCATAGGGTAACTGGGTGAGGAAGAGGGGAGGTGATTTATTACAGGCCTAGTAGGCAGGCAAGGAGAAAGCTCCTGGCTGGCACAATGCACCAGTCGAGTGTGGCAGCATATGTTAGGTCCCTGCTGCCAAAAGGCCCAAGAGAGCTCTCTTCCTATGCCCAAGTCTTGACATTAATGGCTGCATCTGACGCAGCCACGAGGCCTTCTCCATCCACGAGGTTCTCCAGCGCAGAGAACCTAAGGGCACAGTGGCAGCTGAGAGGGTTATTTGACGTGTACAAGGTGCAAAACTCACTGGACCTCCCGATCCAGCGTGGCCGAGTCGCTGTAGCCTGTGGTGCGAGACACAACGAAGTGACGCTCATTCCAGGCGGAGTTGTTCCTTAGGTCCTCGTCCAGGAGTCGCTCGACAAAGTCGAGTTCCTTATCCCAGAGGTTGAACTCCTACGGGGAAAATAGGAACGTATTCGCGATCGTATTGATTCTGTTGATTGCATGGAAATGAGCCGAAGGAGAATGAGTGCAGTGCTTCATAAAAATACTTCGAAATGACGTGGGGTCAAAGCTAAATTAGCAAGACAAAAGTCACGCGCAACGGGTTTGAAAACGACGTTAAGTGTTTTAAACTAATGAAAATGGATATAATACTCAGGGAGTATTTGAAGGTGAACTAGGATGAAAGTGAGGACAGAGACAAACGAAAAGCAGGTTAGAATAGTTTTGAAAATGAAAAGCAACGTAAAAAATTATATCGTCTTGACTGAAGAAAATTGGCTTGGGCAGGAAACATTTCTAGAAAGGATGGCAATAGTTAAGAGGGAACATCAAAGAGTACGTCCACCAGGAAGGTGGAGCAATTAAATCAGCTGTGTGCAAGAGCTAACGCAATTGGTGCATCGCTTAGCTGTCACGGATGGTGACGGCTTTGGGAGGCCTTCATCTAGCAGTGAACAGAACATGGTTCATGATTGAACAGCAATTATACAATCAGAAGCAGGGGAAGAGCTGCATGGTAAACGACAAATAGATAACTGGGGAAGGGGGGGGGGGGCAAGGGCTGCTTGCTGCACCTTGGCGGCCATACCTGTATCACCCACTGTCGGTGCTGCCAGGCGTGGTAGTTCTTTGCGTCCTGTTTCAAAATCTCTGCCGTGAAATCCAGTTCATCCGTGGCATCTTTCAGCCAATCCACCAAAAGCCTTCGGTGATGCCTGACGATGGGTTATCACAAAAAATAGCATAAGTTTGCAATTCTAAAAGCATTTGACTTTTAAATCACAGGTAGTTGTGTGTTGCGTAGGCACTGTCATTACCAGACTTGATAGTTCTTGGGTTGATCCTCAATAATCTCTTGAACATATGCCAGCTCCTCCCGGAGGTCTTTGTTAAGTGACTGCAAAAGCACTCGGCGATAATGCCTGCAAAACATGCACCATAACACTTTCAAATTACATTTACAAGACATACACACAAGTGAATGGGTGGCTCAATGGGAAAATACTGCACCCATGTGATG